TTCTAGTCCCGGTCGGGGCGCCGGATTCTGTCCCGGTTGCCCCTCTTCAGGCCAGCTCTCTGCTGTGGCCCGGGAGTGCAGTGGAGGATGGCCCAAGTGCTTGGGCCCTGCACCCACATGGGAGACCAGGAGAAGCACCTGGCTCCTGCCATCGAATCAAGTACTCCAAAACTAAACTCTCAACAAGAAACTTACCCTAATTAAATTACCTTAATGTTCTCATTCACATCTGTTCTGACATAAAGAAAAGGCATTTCTATCAGTGTCTTTTAAAGGACATGGAAATTCTGGTACTCTTTTTGTCATTTCAGTGAAAAACATTATATGGGTTTTGGAACACAACTGGATATAAAACCTGGCTTAAAAGCAGATGCTGGGGCTGGTGCTGTGGTGAGCAGGCTAAGCTCTGCCTGCAGAGCCAGCATTCCATATGGGATTGCTTGGTATCCCTGTTGCTCCTCTTCTGATCCAGCTCTCTACTTATGGCCTGGGAAGGCAGTGGAGGATGTCCCAAGTGCTTGGGAGGAAGCTCCTGGCTCCTGGCTTCAGATCAGCTCAGCTGTTGAGTCCATTTAGGGAGTGAACCAGTGGATGGAAGACCTTTGTCTCTCCCTCTCTGTAACTCTACCTCTCAAATAAATAAATAAAATCTCCAAAAAAAAAAAAAAAAGTAAATAAAATGCAGATACTGCAGGCCAGAAATTTATATAAAGGTTTTTTTATTAAGATTTTCTTAACTATATTTTTCAGAAAATCAAAACTCATATACAATGTTTTGATTATGTATAAAGTATTACACAGAATTGTGCAGGATATTCTTGACAACTATAGTAATTCTATATTGAATGTGTAAATGTGGGTCATAAATCAGTAAGAAAACTCTTTAGAATTTGCAGAGAGGTTCATTGCTAATAAAAATAACACTACTACAAGTGACCATATGGGCTCTGTCCCAGGAGTAGGAGGTAACATGGTACAAATGAGCACTGGATAAGGAATCACAGGCACCTGAAGGTGAGCTGCATTTCACTGCCTGCTTATTAGCTGAAGAACTTTTCCAAGTCTCAGTCTTCTTCACCTATCAAACATGATGGTAACAGCAGACCTACCTACTTTAACAGATATTTTGAGAATTAGGTAACACAATGCACGGAAATTATGCTTGGAAACTGCTTAAGGTAGCTTACTAAAGATGCAGCCAGAGGGTATGTTTTAACTATTCATCAGGGAAATGACATCTGTAGCCAGTGGTTTCTCGTCTACAGATTTGCACCATAACTTTCTTGTTATTGCTGTTAAGTGCTTATTTGAATATATTTAGGTTCTTACCATCTAGTTCCCTATAGCAGAAAACCAAGTTAATTTTTAAAATTGATGATACATATTTGAAGCTAAAAGTGTGGCTAACTGGGCTGGCACTGTGGCTCACTTGGTTAATCCTCTGCATGCTGTGCAAGCATCCCATATTGGCACCAGGTTCTAGTCCCGGTTGCTCCTCTTCCAGTCCAGCTCTCTGCTGTGGCATCCTCAGTGGAGGATGGCTCAAGCGCTTGGGCCCCTGCACCTGCATGGGAGACCAGGAGGAAGTACCTGGCTCCTGGCTTCAGATCAGCGCAGTGCTGGCCATGGCGGCCATTTGGGGAGTGAACCAACGGAAGGAAGACCTTTCTCTATGTCTGTCTATAACTCTGTCAAAAAAAAAAAAAAAAAAAGTGTAGCTAAAAAAGGAAATGAAATAAAACACAGAAGGAAGTGTATTACCTGTATGGGTGTACTTCAAAGTTTATGGAAAAATGGAATTAAAGCTCAAATAACTGGAGTTGATGTGATGTAGCAGGTAAAGCCACCATCTAAGATGCTGGCATCTCATATGGGCACCACTTAGTGTTCCAGCTCCCTGCTAATGGCCTGGGGAAAGCACCAGCGGATGACCCCAGTGTTTGAGCCCCTGCCACCCATGAGGGAGACCTGGAAGAAGTTCCCAGCTCCTGGCTTCAGTGTGGCCCAGTGCTGGCCATGTGGACATCTGGGGAGTAAACCAGCAGAGAAGATCACTCTCTCTGTCTCTCCAGCTTTTCTTTTTTTTAAAGATTTATTTGAAAGGCAGAGTTAAACACAGAGAGAGAAACAAAACTGAAATAGAGCGAGAGAGAAAAGAGAGAGAGAGAGAGAGAGAGAGAGAGAGAGAGACAGTCTCCCACTTGCTGGCTCACTCCCCAAATGGCTGTAATGGCCAGAACCGGAGGATGCTGAAACCAGGAACCAGAAGCCTCTGCCAGGTCTCCCACATGGGTGCAGGAGTCCAAGCACCTGGGCCATCCTCGGCCGTCCTTGCAGGTACACCAGCAGGGAGCTGGATCAGAAGCAGAGCAGTGAGGACTCAAACCAACACCCATATGGGACATGGACACTGCAGGCATTGACTTAACCCCTTATGCCACAATACCAACCCTACTCTTTCAAATAAATAAATCTTAAAAAAAAAAAAAAAAAGGCAAACTTATTTTGGTACAAAAAAAATTGAAATTCATGCATAGTTTTTTCATCATATCCATTTAAAAAAATTTTTAAGACTCTTCATATAATTTCAAGTAAACATCAAATAGAAGGAAATCTGCATGTTTCTCAAATGATTGTCAAATATCTAGTATGATTTTTTAGAAAATTATGCAAGTAATCAGAACTACTGCTGATAAAAGCTGAGAGTAAAAGTACTCATAATAAAGCTGAGAGTAAAAGTACTGAGTTAAGTACTCATAATCCATTTTTATAAAAACAAATGCATAAAAAGTAACAGACTTATTAAAATCAATGATTGCCAATTTCCAACTATCTTCACTGTAAGTACTCAACTGAGTAAGGAACAGAAAAAAAAAACTCACTTTAACATTGACAGGTCGCGGGAGGCATGTGTGCTATGTGATCAACCTGGATTTTACTTTTTAATTAGAACTAAATAAATTCACTAGCCATTCCCAGTCAACAGACTTTATCACTTTATTAAATGAGCTCAATACTCAAAAGACTGAAAAATGAAAGGATGTCTATGATTTACTAGTCTACAAATTATGTAGAGACTAGATTTAAACTGAATAAAGATAACTAGTTCTGGCAATGTAACATTTGCAAGCCTTTGCAAATGTAAAGCATATGTATTCAAGTGAAAAAGGATCCACTGTTGGTGGGAGTCTAAACTGGTAAAGCCACTATGGAGGACAATGGGGATATCTCAGAAAGCTGAATATGGACCTAACATATGACCCAGCCATACCACTCCTGGGAATTTATCCAAAGGAAATGAAATCAGCATATGAAAAAGGGATCTGTACCCCCCCACCCCGTTCATTTCAGCTCAATATACAAGAGTTAAGATATGGAATCAACCCAGATGTCCATCAATTGAAGACTGGATAAAGAAATTATGGTATGTATACACTATGTAATACTACACAGCAGTTAAAAAAAAAAAAAGAAAAAAAAGAAGTTCTATCATTTGCAACAAAATGGTACAATAAGCCAGTAACAAAAAGGCAAATACCATATGCTCTTTCTGATCTATGGTAACTAATAAGAGTACCTAAGGGGCTGGCGCTGTGGCATAGCAGGTAAAGCCGTCACCTGCAGTGCTGGCATACTGTACGGGTGTTGGTTTCAGTCCTGGCTGCTCCACTTCTGATCCAGCTCTCTGCTGTGGCCTGGGAAAGCAGCAGAAGATGGCCCAAACCCTTGGGCCCCTGCACCCGTGTGGGAGACCTGGAGGAAGCAAGCTCCCGGCTTCGGACTGGTGCAGTTCTGGCAGTTGCGGCCAACTGGGGAGTGAACCCAGCAGATAGAAGACCTATTTTTCTCTCTGCCTCTCCTCTCTATGTGTAACTCTGAATTTCAAATAAATAAATAAATCTAAAATAAATAAATAAATAAATAAATAAATAAAGAAGAGTACCCAAAAGGTAATCTATAGGAGTGAGACTGACACCTTGAGATACGATGATTTTGAACAGCTCTTAATTTCACTGTTGAGGAACAAGGTTTTTCTTGTTTGTTTCTGTTCTTTTTTTTTCTTCGTATTCTCTACTTAGTGCAAGGTTAATCTTATGAGCTTAAAATTACCTGAAAACTGATCTTTGTAAAAAAATAAGAAAGGGAGATGGAGGAGAAAGAAGGGTGGAACTAGGAATGGGATAGGGGAGAATCACCATGTTCCCAAATTTGTATATATTAAATGCATGAAGTATTGTATTATATTCCTTAAATAAAATTAAAAAAAAATTTTTAAATTAAAATAACAAGTACATTGTCAGATGTTTATTACTCAAGTGTCTTCAAATAAGCAATAAACATATATAGTAACCAATCAGTTAACATGGGAACCCATGTAACTAAAGGAGAAGTACTTTAACAATTGCATATAATTAACTGTAAACTGCTAAATGGTATAACCAGAGCCACAGACACAGGGTTCCATATATGCCACCAGAGAAGCAGATAAAATAACAAAGACATTTCCTATCTCTTCTCCTAACCCAAACTGGCAAAAAATTAAATAAAGTACCCCCCCCCCCATAACTGGTTCCTCAATTGCCACTAGTAATGGAATAAAAAAACAAAGAGTGAATATGCAGCATGAATTTTCAGGAACTAGAAGAGCAAGCCTAGAACCATCTGAAGAGGAAAGTTTCTCATATAAAGTTATAAGGTCAATATGGCATTTTAAATACTCCCCCGCCCCCCAACTTTCTAGTTTGTTTTTGAATATAATGTCAGAGTGATACAATGAAAATGTGAAACTTGATAATTTTCATATTTAGTGTTTGTAATCTACTTGCCATTTCTCTCTACCTAATCAATATCCCTCTAAGTTCCTATAAAAGATATGAAGTAACACATATGATGAAGAAAAATGTTAATAACTTGCATTTCAAGCTATATACAATGATTATTTTAGTATTACATCCCTTCAAAATCAAGCACATTACAGTATCACATATAGTGTCTAGTACCTGTGCTCCTGATACAGGGCCAAAGGGGTTTGGTGGTCTCATGACAGGCTGACTGTATATTAAGGTTGGTTGTGTCATGACAGGCACACTTCCCATTTGAGGAGGCTAAAAAACAAAAGAATATAAAGTTAAAGGACATGATTCACATCTACCTTGTTATGACTAAATAAACAAGAATGTTAACAAGAATGACAGATACTACTGCTTTTGTTTTGATTTAGAGAAAAATTCCTTTGAAAGCACACAAAACAGCTATAAATGTTTAAGAGCATTTTGTTGGTATAAAAAATATTTAGCATACTCATTTTTAAAAGACGGTAAGAAAAGTTTCTCTACTCAATAATTTGCAAAATTTAAACGTTTTTATATAGTATAATAGACAAAATGATTTAGACCAACAAATTTTCAACCAACTATTTCTTAATCACCTATAAAATTAACAAAATAAATGAAATTACTTAATGTGAAAATAATTCATCCACAGACTACTACGGTATTTTGGTTAAAAAGCAAGACTCTGGAGGCTGGCATTATGGTACCGCCACCTGTGATGCTAGCATCCCATATGAGCACCGACTCGAATCCCAGTTGCTCCACTTCTGATCCAGCTCCCTGCTAACAGACCTAGGAAGGCAGTGAAAGATGGCTCAAGTCCTTGGGTCCCTGCCACCCACATGGGAGACTAGGATGGAGTTCCTGACTGTTGGCTTCAGTTTGGCCCAACTCTGGCTGTTGTGGCATTTGAGGAATGAACCGACGGATGGACGATCTTGATGGATCTACTGATCAATCGTTTTTGCTCCCTCACTCGTGCTCTCTCTCCCCAACACTGCCTTTCAAATAAATAATTCTTTTTAAAAAGAAAAAAAAGCAGCACTCTAGAATCTTTTTTTAAAAAAGACTTATCTTGGCCAGAGCCACGGCTCACTAGGCAAATCCTCCACCTTGCGGCGCCGGCACACCAGGTTCTAGTCCCGGTCGGGGCACCGGATTCTGTCCCGGCTGCCCCTCTTCCAGGCCAACTCTCTGCTGTGGCCAGGGAGTGCAGTGGAGGATGGCCCAAGTGCTTGGGCCCTGCACCCCATGGGAGACCAGGATAAGTACCTGGCTCCTGCCTTCGGATCAGCACGGTGCGCCGGCCGTAGTGAACCAACGGCAAAAGGAGGACCTTTCTCTCTGTCTCTCTTTCTGCCTGTCCAAAAAAAAAAAAAAAAAGACTTATCTTTCTTATCTGAAAGGCCGTTACAGAGGCAGAGAGAGGAAGAAAAAGAGAGAGGTCTTCCATCTGTTCTGGTTCACACTTCCCAAATGGCTGTAACAGCTAGGGCTGGGCCAGGCCAAGCCAAAGCCAGGAACCAGGAGTTTCTTAAGGGTCTCCCATGTGGTTGCAGGGGCCCAAGGACTCAGGCCATCTTCCACTGCTTTGCCAGGTATTTGAGCAAGGAGCTGGATCAGAAGTGGGGCAGGCAGAATTCAAACCACTACCCATATGGGATCTTGGCGTTGCAGGCGGTGGCTTTACCTGCTATGCCACAACACCAGCACCTAGAATCTTACCTTTCAATAACTTCTGGCTAGCCATTCAAGTAGATTACTGCAAGCATAGTGAGCTTCACTTTTAAGCCTATGACATAAATATTTAGGCAAACTCCTTTTTTATGCAATGATATCATTCTAAAACCTGTGGAACCTTTCTACATGTATAAAAGAAGCCACTTCCATATCATGTATGAAGTAGCACAATAGCCACAGTAGCAATACCAAGGCACAACATACTGGCTTCTACCAGCAACCATTCCTCAATTATGTTTCAATGAATTGAAGCCATTATCTCCATTTCTAATCTAAGTGGTCTGTATATTGAGAGGGCAGGAAGAATAAGGGAGATATATAACATGGATTGTGGGGAACCTAAATGTTTATAGACTAGAATAACCACTGCCATAGGAAAATTCCTCTGGCCTTTACTATATGAAAGCTAACCCTATATAATTCACGAAATGTAATCCTCCCCTTCCTCTACAGTTTTAAGATTATAAGACTTCACTGGTATTTAAGATTAGAACAACAAAAGCTTGGAGGTGACACTAATGTTTAAACATATTTGTAATGAAATATAAAATGCCTAGCAAAGTGAGGAGAAAAATAAGCCAAGAAGGGGCAAGTGTTGTGACACAGTTGGTTAAGTTGCTGCTTGGGTTGCCCACATCCACTATCAGAGAGCCTGGATCAAATCCTGGCTCTCCACTTGCAATCCAGTTTCCCATCACTGCACACCTTGGAAGGCAGCAGGTGTAGCTCAAGTGGTTGAGTCCCTGTCACCCACGTGGGAGACCCAGACCTGAGATCTGGGCTCTTGTGTCAGCCTGGCCCAGAGCTGGCTGCTAAGGGCTTTTGGGGAGTTAATCAGCAGATGGAAGCTCTCTCTTTGTGTCCCTCTGTCTTTCAAATAAATGAAAACTTTGTGACAAATATGTTTCGGGGTGGTTTTTTTTTTTAAAGGAAAAAGAAGCCAAGCAATATTTTAAGAATTAATAAAAACTATGTGTTGTGTTATTCTAGAAATACTGAAGAAACCAATGCCATGGTACCACCTAGGGCTAGAGATGGATGGCACTAAATTATTTGTTAGTTAAGAGTGTTAAAAGCATGTTAAAGAGGAAACAATCTATTTTCCAAAAGTTTTATCTGGAAAAGTACTTACAATTCCATATCCTATCATTCCTGTTGGTGTAGTAGCAGGATAAGCCATTACAGGAGGTGCCTGACAAGATGAAAGGAAAAATAACCAGAGGTATAACTCATATGTGTCAACTGAGTTCAAAGAATTAAGAGCTGTAGTTCCACTAAAAAGAATTGCTAAGACAGCTGTGATTAAATGACATTTATGGTAATTAATAACTGTGTCAATTAATGCTCAGTGAAAAAAGTCTTGAAATTATCAGAAAGAGAATTATCAGAAATAAGAAAATACCACTTAAACTTAGATACATCAGTGATCTAAGATGACAAAGTGCTTTTACAGCCTTAAACATCTTTGAATTTTTAAAAATAAAGTAAGTTCTAAAATTTAACGTCTATAACTATCATTAGGAAATGTTTACCCAGATAAAGTGTTTTCCTGGGTACTTCATTTCTCAAAGAAAAACATGCAAACATCTTAAATCAATTAATAATCTGATCTTTGAGGGAAAAAAGAAGTTCCTAAGGACCCTTCACTCAAAGAATCCCAAAGATTTCAAACCACTATTGAGTGTGACTATTTCTATGAACCACAATTCTTACATATGGAGCATGCATGTTAGCTAGGCTTCCTTATTTACTCCAAAAATATTTAAAAGCAACAATCAATGAAAAGAACCCTCTACCACTGAGATATTTAAGTTCTCTCATACTGCTACTTTAACTGATCATCTGTAAATATAACAGCTAACAAAACAGAATTATTTTAGATATAATTGCTGTCTTAACATTCCCTGTGTGTGTTTCTTATGAAAACTGAAACTGAATACAGTGAAAAGACCAATAACATTGCTGAAACACAAAAAAACAAACAAATTAAATGGCAATTTGAACATATGCATGAAGTAAAATGAAGCGTAACTTTTTGAAAACAGCATTGAAGTGAAGAGTTAAAAGTTTAGTATTTGGGTGAGCATGTAGGGCTTATTGGTCTCTCCCTACTTAAAATCCAAGATCTGTAAGAGCAGTAGACAAACTGCCAAGTACAGCAGAAGCCTGTAAGATTTCATGCAGTTGTTATTCCAAACATTACCACAATCAACATTTCTCTTCATTCAGAAGTCATCAAGTGCATAGTGGCAGCACAGATACACACACAGACACCCAGCCATCTGGCAGCAAATGGCGGAATATTAAGCAAGAAAAAAAATTGGTACTTCCCATGCCACCATCAGAATCAATTCTGCAACACACCCATGAAATCAGTAGATGCTAGGAAGAATTTTTGGCACATTGAAAATCTGAATGTGAAAACAAGTAATAGCTTAAAGGTTATGAGATTCTGCTGCAGCAGTGGTTAATAGCATGCCAATTTATTGCAAAAAGGCTAGTTTTTGGTCACTTACGTATTGTGGAAAATGCATGCCATTCTGTTTTTCCCAGGGAGAACAATTACATAATGCAATAACACTGGATTAGAACAAGTACTTACACAACAGAAAATACACAGAGAGCATTTTAGTTCACATGTACATTCACTAACTAAAGTCTCTTGTATTTCCAGTATCTAATGAAAGAATATCTAAACTAAAACACTATCAAGGTTGACAAGGCAAACCGAGTCTTTAGCCTTATTCCTTTATATACACAATAGTTAACTGACTAAAAAATATCTTTCGAACACAAAATCAATCACAAGTACCAATAGTGCAAAATTCAGGGCATCTCATAAACAGTCATATCAATGTCTGTCACAGGAGAAAAAAAACCAAGAAATAATTAAAAGAATTTGTACCAAAATGTTTTTTAATTCCAATAAATTTGTTTTTATAAAAATTGAAAAACCTTGACAGTGTTTAGGATTAACAAAAAGGTTAGAAATGTCATAAGCAGCGGTATGTCTTAAGTAGTGAATCACATCATCAGTCTTTAGTGTTAGCCACTAAAAGGAAACTATAAAATATATACAAATATTTTAATAAAATCCTTAAGAGATGATTCACATTGCATATAGAACATAGAAACATAAATACTGCTATCTTATCACTTTACACATGAATTCCAGAAGGTTAGAGGCTTATTACATTCTAATTCATCTTAAGTGTTACATACAAACCTTTAATATTTCACAGAGTTTAACACTACAAAAACATAAAATATTCATTGTACTTTAGTATCAACTTTTGTATGTGTCATTTTTTATTGTCAATGTAGAATTCACACCATAAAATCCACTGATCTAAACACCTGCCATCTCCTACTCAGTGACATGTGTTATAGTGGGAAAAACATCGAGTTCAGAATCAAGAGATGGACTTTCAACTTTAAATTGCTTCCTACTTGGGAAAAGAATTGTATTACTTTATCCTTAAAACTGAGGTAAGTCAAACTCTTCCAAGACAGCACTGTTTACATGCTGAAGATAGTACATGTGCATGTGCAGATAAAAACTAAAACTATTTCAATGAAAGGTTTTAATGTTAGTGAAGGTATAGAACACTAACTGTGAAAAATTACTGCTCTAAAATGTAGCTAAATTTCAACATTATGGAATCTAATTTATGGAATCTAATAATAAACTTTTCAGGTAATGTCATACAAAATTTTACCAGCACAATATTTTTAGATCATTCCTATTAATTATAACACATAATTAACCAAAGGAAAACAAGATAATGTTCTGTTAATGAATTAATAATAAAAGATATTATCATAAGAGCAATGGAGATATCTATCAACAATATGAAGGTTATACTATGTAGCCTCTGTAATCAAAATGCTGCTATTAATCAACTGATAGAAGCAGGTCATATTTTTCCACAAGGAGGAATATGTTTTTCTCTGATTGACCAAGACTTGCTGGACTGGTAAGGCAGCAGCTGGCCAGGGACAGGGAAACAGACCATTAAGGCATGGGCCTACCATGCCTTATAGTAAATAAGAATACCACCAGAGTTTGTTCAGTAATATATATTAACTATTAATTAGCAAGCACAGCAGATCTTCATTATTCATATTCTGTATTTGCAAATTTGCCTAGTCGCTAAAATTTGCAACCCCCAAATCAATACTTGTGATGTTTTCTATGTCATTCATAGACATACAAAGAGGAGCAAAAGATCTGTATCACTGCATGCAGTTTATTCCCAGCTGAGTTGGAACAAAGTGACACTGCCTTGTTTTAGCTCTCATGTGAAGAAGTCCAGAGGATGGAGAAGGTAGGCAACAGTTGTATGTACCACAAGGAGCTCTGGCTCTGCAGCCAGTTGAGCACAACTAGAATTCCAACTCTGGCACTAGTTAGTGGTGTGGCCTCAGGCATGTCACTTAATACTGCTGACTTCATCTTGTATTTTATAAAACCCAATCTACAAGAATGAGGATTTTTAGTATTGAAGATTATAATCTATGTGAAATACGCATAAAAATGCACATATTTTTCCTAGCAGTGGTTCACTGTTCACTAGTTGGGTAACTCTAAGTATATAACTGCCACAAAAAAAGAGAATCAACTGTATAAATTATATGACAATTTTAACAACAAATAATTATAGTTTCTTTACCAATGGTGAAATTTGTAGAAAATTAAAGACAATATTTGAGACAAAAATGCAGTAAGTTTAAGATCAGTAGTACAGAGAGTGATTAAGAGATTACGCCCTGCAGCTCCCAGGCTGCCTGGGTTCTGAAAACCAAGCCAATCACTTAAGAACTCTGTGATCCTGGGCACATTTTTGTAACTCTGTGCCTTTATTTCCTCATTTGTAAAAAATGATGATTATAACTTTCTCTACTACACAGGGCTAATATGAGGATTATACAAAATAAAATCAGATGCTTTTTATTAAAACTGTGCCTGGTACAAAGTAACACTTACAGGTTAGCGACTAAAATGTACCTGGCAAATATAGTCAACCAACCTCCTTTAAAATAAATACAAATTGCTTATACTCCTACAACTTAGTAGCAATCTTCCCATTTATGCCTATCGCTTCAGAAACACTTTCATCATGTTACACAATTATTTATTTGTTAGCATATTGGGAGCTTTTCCAACTCACCATTGTTGCAGCATTCCAAGCAGTTGTTGGTGCAACCTTTGGTTGCCAGTTAGATCCTCCAGTTAACTTCTTTTCACCTGGTTGACTCCAATTTACATCACTTTAAATAAACATAAGAATATTAACTGCCTCTAATTTAAAGTTTCTGTAGTATATACATAAACTATATCAACAATGCAGACTTGACATCTTTATCCGTACTTTCATGATGAGAACTCAATCTTTAAATGACAGATGGGGAAAGAACACAAAACACTTACTTCTTAGTGGTTCCATTTCCAATGCCAAGATCTGGGACAGGAGAGGAAGAAAACATTTTAAAACTAGACTCATGCTAATAATGTAACACTTTAAAAGAAAATTAAAGAATTCAAAGACTACTTACTGCCCACAAGATTGGCTAAAGATGAATCCAAGTCATCAGACACTAACTTGTTAGGTGGGAGTTTGGCAGCAGGAAGACTCTGGTTCTGAGAGGCCACAGTAGGTTTGAGGAGTCCACCTAGTTCATCAAAGCCTTAAAGTTACAAACAGACGAAATAGGATTTGTAAGGAACTTTATGAAACTACAACTTTCTACAGGAGGTCTTTGCCTTTTTTCCTTGTTTGTTCACTGGAATAGTTCTTTAAAAAAATAGACACTAGTAAATACACTTAAAATTAAATAGGAGAAATTTACCAACACAAAGTGAATAGACTCAGGCTGCATTTGTTTTAATGGAACTCATTTGTTTTATGTCCAATTTACATAAAAATTAAAGGAGGGGCCAGTGCTGTGGTATAGTGGGTAAAGCCACCTCAGTGCTAACATCCCACATGGGCAGCGGTTTTGAGTTCCAGCTGTTCATCTTCTGATCCAGCTCTCTGCTATGGCCTAGCAAAGCAGTGGAAAATGGCCCAAGTCTTTGGGCCCCTGCACCTAAGTGGGAGACCCGGAAGAAGCTCCTGGTTTCTGGCTTCAGAATGGCACAGCTCCAGCTGTTGTGGCCATTTAGGGAGTGAACCAGTGGATGGAAGACCTCTCTCTCTCTCTCTGCCTCTGTCTCTCTGTAATTCTGCCTTTCAAATAAATAAATAAATCTTAAAAAAAAAAAAATTAAAGGAGATGAAGAGAAGCACTGTGAAAGGGAAGGAAATGAAATTAAATTCTCCCTCTCATCTGGCAAGATTTTCTGAATGGTCACTTATACCTAAAAGCAATTTAGGTTAACAACAACAAAAAAAAGTATTGGGGTCAGCACTGTGGCTTAGCAAGTGGTGCCACTTCCTACAGTGCTGGCATCCAGTATTGGCACTGGTTCGAGTCCTGGCTGCTCCACTCCCAATCCAGATCTCTGCTATGGCCTGGGAAAACAGTGGAAGATGGCCTAAGTTCTTGGGCCCCTGTATCTACATGGGAGACCCGGAGGAGCTTCCTGGCTCCTGGCTTCAGATTGGCCCAGCTCTAGCTGTTGAGGCCATTTGGGAAGTGAACCAGCAGATGGAAGACCTCTCTCTGCATAACTCTTTCAAATAAAATAAATGAATTAAAAAAAAAAAGTATCTATGAAACTTTGAAAAAAATTTAAAAGTTCCTTTAAGACATGTATTTATAGACCTTTTTATATTCTTCAAAGAAGAGAATAAAGAGCTGATCTAAAATATAATGACCTAAACTATATCTAAGAAATTGTTAAACAGCTCTAGCCGCCTAACTTATCTAATGTACCTAATGAACTAGGGTATTTATTGAAAACGAAAAAATTCCTAAGGATCTCTACCGAAAGGAAGAAGACAAAAGCGTAACCAATTAAATCAACTCAGTAAGGGACTCAACAGCACTATCTACAAATATTTTAAGAGTTTGAAACAGAAAAATCATCAAAGATGGTGGCTTACAAAACATGAACAATTAGTGTCTATTTCCCCTTTTCCTTTTACCTAAGCAAGACAAGCTCACAAAAAAAAGGCAAATGCGCACAAAAACATTATAAGCCTACTGGTATAAAAAAAAAATTCTGAGTCCATAGATATCCTTTATATGCTTACTTTATGGATAACTAATTATATGTTATAAAATTAAGAACACCTCAATACATCCTCTTCATATGGCTAAATCTTAATTACTAACCAAAACAAAAGGCTACCTCATGGAAAGAGTAGAATTAATGAGTGCTAATATTTTATAAGTCCTTTAGAACTTCAAATTACAAAGGTATTAATGAAAATACAAAATGGAAATGTGGGTCTACTGATTTATAATGTTCTCATAAGACAAAGGAACTAGCAAATCATAATAAGATCCACCCTTAAAACAATGAAAGGCCTCTGCACCCACAGGCTTACTATTTTTTAATGCTTTAGTTGTTCATACAAAGAACCTCTAAGCATGTCAAAGGACCAAAGATTTTATTTTCCCAGTATTTAAAAATAGCAATTTTATATATTAAAATATATTATGGTCATTATTAACTTCATAATGGTAAAATCTTAAGGAGTAAAGCAGTAGAGAATTCCACACACAGTCACTAGAAACGTGGCATCTTACTGAGCTAAGTATCCTTAGCATCTGAACTGCCACCAATAAAAGGGAATGACTATACATGTAGTTCATTCAAGTTCTCATTAGTGGTCAGAGGCAGGAGGGACAATTTGTTTAGCTCCTAATTTAGTCTACTTATAAATGTTAAAAGTGGCATTATTTTTCCTTACACAGAATCTATATTAGATCACTATAGCACTTTAAATTAAACAATTTTTTTCTTACCCCCAGAATCTACAACAACATTTGTAGATTTATTTCCAAACACAGATTCAAAGTCAACATTAAGGCCAGCTGAAGGATGTGGCTGTGCAACTGGAGAAGGAGTGAATCCTGAGAGAAATCAAAATGGAAAAAATAATCTCAACTCTAATAATTCTATATTTAAAGTTCTATAATAAAGATGACAACAGGATGGAAAAGCAATAAATTCCTCAAAGAACAAAGCTAGGCTTTCAAGCAAACTGTCTTCCACACAGAATTATTTTTGTGCTGACTATTTCTCCACAAAGTTGTACACAAACAAAAGAAAACTAATAAATGAGTAACCAATGTTGAACTATTAGCTTGCTTTACTACATAATAAAATATTTACTTATATTTTATTTTAATTTCGTATGCTGATACCCTTTAAAAACTAAACACACCTAAAATTCCAGGGTTTTGCACAAAATAAAATATATACACAATGCAAGGGCTCACTTGGCAATGAAATAAGCATATAAAAAAAAGAACCTTCTTCATATTGCCATCCTCCATATTTTTCTCTCCTAACTTCAACAGTGAATTAAAAAGCTAAATGGTTCTTGATTAATCTGATTAAATCTGAAAAGTGGCAAGAGTTTGACAGTCAGTCCACTCTTGTGTAATTAATTTTAAAGCATCAAAGAAAAAACAGCACTTTTAACTCGAAACAACCTTTTTTCTTCAACTTATGATTTCTAACAGTTTACAACAAAACATGCAATTAATCTAACTAGCCTGAATCATCAAAAACATAAACAGGAAAGCTTATTCTTTCTTGCTTGTGTTATACTGATGCTAACAGTATTAAGCAAAGAAGTACACAGCTCAGGTCTTTGAGATCAGCCTATCCTGAGGTAACAAAAGATATCCAATTGCACAAGGCTTTTTGTGAAGTGGTGTTTTGAATTTCTAGGAATCGAAATGAAGAATTAAAATCATCTAAAAATATTAGCATTGTGACATGATTTGGAAAACTTCTAATCATGGAATAATATACAAATAAAGAGCAGTCCAGCAAGGATCACAAGAAAGGAATTCTTTTCCCATATAGAAGGCTATAATAAATGACTCCTAAGGTCTTTTCCATCATTGAATTCTATCAAATCAGCATGTAAGCAAACAAATAAAAGTACCTGATACCTGTTATTAAAAAGTTAACACCAACAATATTAGGGAGAAGCTAAATTTTTGGAGTTCCAAACATAGGTTCTCTCTCTTCTTCTCCCAATTTTATGCTAAAGTATCTTCAATCAGTCTCACTTTGAATTTGTACACCACCAGGAGATAAAGAAACAAGATGTTATGTTGTATTAAGAGGACTGATCTGGGCCAGCGCAATGGCGCAGTAGGTTAATCCTCCGCCTGCGGCGCCGGCATCCCATATGGGCGCCGGTTCTAGTCCCGGCTGCTCCTCTTCCCATCCAGCTCTCTGTTATGCCCTGGGAAAGCAGTGGAGGATGGCCCAGGTCCCTGGGCCCCTGCACCCACATGGGAGACGGGGAGGAAGCTCCTGGCTCCAGATCGGCACAGCTCCGGCCGTTGCGGCTATTTGGGGAGTGAACCAACGGAAGGAAGACCTTTCTCTCCGCTTCTCTCTCACTGTAACTCTACCTGTCAAATAAATAAATAAAATCTTAAAAAAAAAAAAAAACTGATTTTTTTTTATTATTTTTTATTTTTTGGACGGCAGAGTGGACACGTGGGGAGAGAGGGGCCGGGGGGAAGGTCTTTCTTTGCCGTTGTTCCCCCCTCCAATGGGCCGCCGCGGCTGGCGTTCTGCCGCCGGCGCACCGCGCTGATCCGATGGCAGGAGCCAGGAGCCAGGTGCTTTTCCTGGTCTCCCATGGGGTGCAGGGCCCAAGCACCTGGGCCATCCTCCACTGCACTCCCTGGCCGCAGCAGAGGGCTGGCCTGGAAGAGGGGCAACCGGGACAGAATCCGGCACCCCGACGGGGACTAGAACCCAGTGTGCTGGCGCTGCTAGGCGGAGGATTAGCCTAGTGAGCCGCGGCACCGGCCTAAAAAGACTGATTTTAAAACTGTAAAACTTAGGACAACTTTGGGCAGTAAATCCAAGAACGTCCTCAAGGACAAATAAAGCCAAAAAAGCAATGATGTATACAAGCTGGTACACACCAATGCTACTAGTGATTTACATCACATAATGAACATTGTGTAGGGCACAATTTTTTTAAGAATGCTCCATAATTATTTAAACTCCTTAACTATTCTTAACTCAAAGGGATGGGTCATATAATCAGAACACAAACACTATCATAGTAGAATGTAATTTAATATATAAATCTGATCAATTTATCAGAAGAATTCTAGAATTCTAGACTTACCGATTTAATAATATTTTAAAGTATTTAAGCTTTAATTATAAGGGCCTGCTTGTTCTTTACATAACTCCTTACATATATAAAGAGCCAATGTATCTACTGAAGAAAGACAGAAATCTGTCATGCTTAATTATGTGCCTATCCTATCACAGTGTTAATATACATTTTGTTCTTTAAATGATATTCTGCTAACCATCTTGGCTACATTAGCATTAATCTTTAGATCATACATGGAACAATAATTTAAAACTAGGTCCATACATCAAGTTCCCATTTTCTCCTAGTGTTTTGTCCCAGAATTCTAGAATATTGTTGATATAAAAGAGATGAACCTATCCTCTACAGTAATACTGACACAGGTTAATTACTTTCTGTGAAAAAAACAGCCATCTCCTGAGGTTCCCAGGGCACTAATATACAAAATTACATTATTATTACGTAGATATAGAAAAGGTTAGAAAGGATATAAAGTAATTCAGGGTATGTATCTCAAGTTTAAAAAGCTTCTACATTAAAAAAAAAAAAAGCTTCCACATAGAGGAAAAATGTAAAAAGGAAAATTTTAAGAAATTTCAATAGCTTATTAGTTACCAGGGAAACAAGCAGTATATCTGCAAAGGAAGAATCTTTTAGGTAATGAAAGATTCCCTGTTTCACACACACACCATCAAGATTTTTCTGATATTTCTGTATTCTCATTTCAATGCACATCTTCAACTTAATGGCCTTTTGTCCCAAGTCACTTTTGTGGAAACCTCCACTACTGCCAATTTTTAATTTTAAAGTTATTTAAAGACACAGATCTAAAATGACCATTTCTTTATTAAGATTTATTTATTTACTTGAAAGGCAGAGTTACAGACAGACAGGGAGAGACAAAGAAAGAGAGCAAGCGAGCTCTTCCATCTACTGGTTCATTTTCCAAATGGCCTCAACAGCAGGGACCAAAGCCAGAAGGAGCCTGGAACACCATCCAGGTATCCTACATGGGTGGCAGGCGCCCAAGCACTTTGGCCATCTTTTGCTGCTTTGTTGGCACACTTGCAGGGAACTGGATTGCAAGATGAACAGCCAGGACTGGAACCAGCACTCATATAGGATGCCAGCATTGCAGGAAGCTTAACCTGCTGTGACATAATGCCAACTCCTATTATGACTATTACAAAGGAAAAATTTAAAGAAGAAAAAAGAAGGACAGATTTCCCAGCTTAAGGTAAATTTTATGAACTATATGTACACTGTCTTGTCTATTCTTTAACTTTACAAGGAAGGCCCAGTGACAACAATGTCACTGATCAGCATCAGCCCACTGAGTAACATTTAGAAACCACGGTCCTACAGGGCAAAACTCAAGAGGGCAATTATAAATTAATGAGAGGAACAAGCTCTACAAGCATTTTGAAATACTTTTAAGAAAAACTGGCTAAGTTCTTAATGGATTTTGGGGGTAATTCCCTGATAATTAGGTCTCATACTTTTTTTTTTTGGTGAAAGTAACAGCTCCATGTATTAAAAGCCCTATTACATACTATTCATGGGCTTTGTTAAGTAAGTCATTACTTAAAACTCAAACACCACCATGAGATAATTAGTATTATCCCCCTTTTACATATGAAGAAACGAACAGATTAAACAGTTTACCTAAGGCCAAAGATTAAGTAACTGGCAGAAGCGACATTTTAATTCAATTTTTTGTTATTCCAAAATCTGGAAGTTTTCAGTTTATCCTAATTATTTCATCTTAAACATACTAGTATGTAGAAAAATAAATCTTCATTATAGCTATACTGTTAATTTAAAAGGATTCGTGTTTTACAAAATTCCTAAGCTTTCCATTACTAATGCTGGGCCAAAAAGTGAGTAACTCAGCAATTTTAAAACACAAAAGAAATGCAGTTCAAGATTATTAACTGTGCTAAATAACAAGAAGTATATTTGATTGGCCCTTGTTGTAGCACTATGGGTTGAGCTGCTGCCTACAATGTCTGCATCCTACATAAGCATCTGTTCTGGCCCCCACTAATGTGCCTGGGAAAGCAGCAGAAGATGGCCCAAGTACTTGGGTCCCAGCTACCCACACGGGAGACCAGGATGAAATTCCAGGCTACTGACTTTGGCCTGGCTCAACCCTGGCCACTGTGGCCATTTGGGAGGATGGAAGATCTCTCTCTTCCTCTCTGTCTCTCTCTATTTTTCTGTTAACTCTTTCAAATGAATAAACCTTAAAAAAAAAAAAAAAGTACATCTGGGCTGTGGCACAGTGGGTTAATTCTCCACCTGCGATGTTCACATGCCATATGGGTACCAGTTCTACTACTGGCTGCTCTTCTTCCAATCCAGCTGTCTGCTATGGCCTGGTAAAGTAGTAGAAGATGGCCCAAGTTCTTGGGCCCTTGCACCTGTGTGGGAGACCCAGAAAAAGCTTCTGGCTCCAGATTTGCACAGCTCCAGGTACTGTGATCATTTGATGAGTAAAAAGGAAGACCTTTCTCTCTGTCTTTCCCTCTCACTGTCTGTAACTGTACCTCTCAAATAAAATCTTTTTTAAAAAAGTACATTTGAAGTATGAAATGCACGTATTTATAGTTTTTCAAAGCAGTAATTTTAACTTTATATGCCATGCTGCTAGATATTAAAACTGACATTTGTAAACCTCATAATAGTTCAAGACATTATTATCCTACCTTTTGTAGATTTACAGAGGTTAAAAATTTGTTTATCATACAATAAAGTAGAAGCAGAATTCAAATTAATGCTCATTAGATTCTAAGCATATTATTTCTATCAAATATCCTCATAAATCCCATTTTTAAATATAGTTAACTATATCTAATGCTTACTGCCAGTCAAGAACACCAATTCCTAAGTTATGTCAAGCCTACTTCTCAATGCCAACTTAACTGGATTTTGGTGTCATAAAAAATTAGGTCTTATAATGGTCATAAGGTAATCAACTACTATGCCCCGCTCCCATGAGCTGGACTTTAGCTTTTATTGCTACTGCACTGACCTAGAATACATTTTGAAAGACAAAGACAAATACACAAAGAGCTTTGAAATCCATACGCTTTTTTGTATACTCTTTTGAAAGTTTACAAGTCCAGAATATGGATTAAATCAAAAAGATAACAGATTTTCATAAAACCACCAAGTATTTAATTAAGCAAACAATATTGGGCAAAATATGGTGTGTTCTTCACAGGCAAATTTTTTAAGTTTATTAAAAACTTATTCTAAGGAGGGAAACAAAGTAATTCCTTCTGCGTAAATAAACTGAATTTCAGAGACACTGCTATCTACCTCCAAACAAGCCAGCTACAGCAGATTCATAATGCATGAAGGTAGTAGTAGGTAAGTTTGAATGCCACCAAAAAAATGCTGACAAGGCATAAAATGCAGGGAAGAAAGGCAAAAGAGAAGAGAGAGAGAAGGAAGGAAGGATGGAAAGGATGGAAGAAGGAAAGGAGAGGAGAAGAAAAAAGAACAATTAAGTGTGGGGTGGAGTAATTGAGTGAAATAAAACAAGGAATCCAAGCACTTGGCATTCTTAAAATGACAATTTACTAAAAAAAGAACTTAAAGCTTCATTATGATTATTTTACACATATTATATATATATGTTACTTCATATATCTATATATAAACTATTATGGTTTGCAACATTTAAAAAACAGAATACTATCTCATTAGAAACAAAAATATGAGGCACTTAGGTTTTTAGCCAATACTAACCTATTTTCTAAGGTCTGGCTTAACAAATAAGAAAGTGGGTCCAGACAAAGTTCAGAGACACTCACATATACAGCAAGCATAGCCGGGACTACAACCTACTCTTGACTCATAATTCAGTGTCCTGTACCTTCAGTAAGGACAGATTGCCAATTACACTGAGCATATCATAGCAGCAGATAAGTGTATTCCTATGGTAGGAATTTAGAACATACTAAAATACACGGCTATATATATATATATATATCCTTTTTCTGGATTGTTCTTAATCCTACAGGGAAAGATATACAATTTTATAATGCACTGACAAGAAGGCATTACTGCAATGATTACACTTAGAACATAAATGTAGTTTGAACTGTTAGATCTATATAACCTGAACACCTGACTTGAAATTCTCTCGAATCTACACCATGAACTTGCTTTTTGGTTTTTTACTTCCCTCCTTTTTTCTCTCATATATATGAGGCAATGTCCAAAAGTTCATGGAAAGTGTGTATAATGAAACAAATCACACATGGACTTACTAAAATTTTTCCATAAAAATAAATTTATCATTTAATTCCATTTTCCACAAACTTTTAGAAGCATCCTCATATATCTAACAGCATATTTAGAGTATGGCCACATGATCTGTTTACGGTACTAACGTAACTTCCCACATGCTACTTCATCAAATGTTAATTCACATCATCTTAAAGTTGCTTTGGTGAGCGGAATAAAAGCACCTATTACCATCTTTTAAGGGGATGGTTAGCATTTTTAGGAGCATTAAGATCCATTTATTTCAGATTTAGTAAACACTTTCCTAGGTAACATGGTGTGAAATTATATCCTTTTATGAGTTTCACACTGGAATGACAGGTTATTCAAGTCAATTTGCTCTTCTGTTTTATTATTAAAATGGAAAACACACTTCCCACAATTATTTCCTAACAATAAAGTGATTTTCTTAAGAATAGGATGAAGAGTACATATATATTTTAGATAGTTTTAATATGCAAAAGCTAGGGGGAAAAAAGTTGAAGATCGTTCCAATCAATGACAAACAGTACCTCTACCAAGAACAGAGGTGAAAACATAAGCCTATGTAAGTATTTTTAAGGGAGATACTTTCCAACCAATTCTGAAACAATAAACAGGATATGCATATGATACTGGATAACTTGAGTACTGTGCTATAATACAACAGAGAACAAAACACCAAAATAAGTTCAATAGCAAAGGAAATTTTCTTCCCTAAAAGCTTGTGTTAAATAAAATTAGGGAGACAAGAGTCAATTTAAAAGCCTTACTATATTATTGCTGTTTAATGTATTGTAAGATCTGAAGTAAAATCCAAAGTAATTATTACAGTGCTTTAAAAGTAATTAATGAATACATTAATAATTATTAGGCAATATAAACATTAATTGGAAAAAAAAGGTTAAATGGTACTTTACCAACAAACATTTCATGAGTAGGTGTCCTAGTAGTAAAAGTGGATACATCTGAAGAAATGGGAAGGTGAACATCACCACTACTTTTTGTGAGGAAAGGATTTAAGCTTGGAATGGCATCATCAACAGCATCTATAGTAGCAGAGAAAGGATCTGTGCAGTCCAAGTGTATTACAGCAAAATGAAGAAAGGAAGTAAATAAATTAGTATTATATTAGTCAAAGATGCAAAGTGAAAAGCAGTAGCTATATTATTTATTAATATTAAATGCAAAATTATCTAAACATCAAGATGGAAGAACTGCATTTAATGTATTTTAAAATGAATCTTCAGAAGAAATACTTATGTGTACATTAACAACAGTAGCAAACTAAGGACAGATTTGCTCTTTAATATTGGGAAGCCAATAGTGAGGTAGTTTAAAAAAGAGAATAACTAAGATGGTACTTCTATAAAACAGCCACTCACCTTGTTCCCATCTTCCCTGCCCTAGGTGGGAGTGTACTGGCATTACTGTGTTTACTCAAATAACTGACATTAAACAATTAGTGGGTGGTGGTATAAGTAAACTTTCAAAAGGAGGTGGCGTGGGGGGATAATGACAAGAAGGGTAAGAGGCTGTTTCTACCAGGTACGGAAATCACCTGTATAAGGTTCCAAGGCAGGAAATGGGAAAATAAAGATGAAGATTCTGAGGATGGGAGAGAAAGGGATTTTAGATGAGAGTAGGAATGAAAGATTACTCATCTAGCAGAGCAGGAACTACTCTGAAGGTCTAGCAAAGAGCTTTAGAGCCTTTAAATGATTTGCTAAAGGAATAACAATTATGTTTTTTCCTACCAAAATGACACTAATTATGTCCCATTAACAAGTTCTACACATAAAATTGTTATAGAATCAGGTATTTACTCTAACTATACCTCACTCAAAAGATTTGGCTTTCTATTAAAAAACTCATTTATCCTAAGAATTAAACACTTGACTAAATGGGGAGAGAAAAAACTAAAAAACAGCAAAAATACAGTATCATACTTTTCTCTCTGTAATACGAAAGTGAGAAGACAATTCTGTACTTTCAACCACTCTGCTGGTCTATTATACTAGTGCAGCTTTCATAGTATTAGGCTTGCCTTCTTTTAACATTGTATGATTCAAAACTAAAATAGCAGCAAAGACCTAAAAGACAAGGAGACTTCCCTAAAAGTCAATAAATTCAAGAGAAGTATTCTACAAACCCAAAATAGAAAATAGAAAATATCTTTGAAAATAGAAAATATCAAAAAAATACTGAGGTTATAGGTTTAAATATATACCATTTCAATATAATTTTTTTATCACAAGACTTTTTTAGAAATTAAACGTTCCCATGGAACATCAAGTCCTAAAAACATCAAAATATGATGACAGACTATTCAAACTCAAATGATCATATTTTAATATCTTTCTCATCCATCTGCTCCCCAGTAAGTGGACCAATGGGAAAAAAAAATCAGAAAAACATAACAGAAATAAAAAGTAGAAATAGATTTAAAAAATGCTGTTTTTGCGTACTAAAATAAAAACATAATGCTGGCCACTCTAAATCCTTGCATATGAAAGGAGTTACATTAAGTTTAGTTAAATTAAAAGAATTTTTGAAAAAGATTTATTTATTTATTTGACAGAGTAACACAGAAAGAAAAGGAGAGGCAGAGAGGGAGAAGAGGTCTTCCATCCACTGGCTCACTCCCCAATCGGCCCCAGTGGCTGGAGGTGCACTGATCCGGAGCCAGGAGCCTGGAAGTTCTTCTAGGTCTCTCACGCAGATGCAGGGTCCCAAGGACTTGGGCCATCTTCTACTGCTTTCCCAGGCCATGGCAGAGAGCTGGATCGGAAGTGGAGCAGCGGGACTTGAACCAGTGCCCATATGAGATGCCAGCACTGCAGGCGGCAGCTTTATTCACTACACCACAGCACTGTCCCCAAGAGAACAGTTTTCAAATACTTGATAGTGGCATGGGATATTAAAGTACATGACATTCTGTTGGACAATAACACAAAGCACCTCTAATTTTCCATGTAAAAAAAGCTATTAGAGAAGTCATTTTTTAAAAATGGGCATAAGGGGCCAGCGCTATGGCACAGTAGGTTAAACATTTGCCTGCAGCACTGGCACCCCGTATGGGTGCCAGTTTGAGTACTGGCTGCTCCACTTCCGATCCACTTCCCTGCTAATGTGCCTGGGAAAGCAGCAGAAGATGGCCCAACTGCTTGAGCCCCTGTCCCACATGGGAAACTTGGAAGAAGCTCTTGGCTCTTGACTCCAGATCAGCCCAATATCAGGTGTTGCACACCATTTGGGGAGTGAACTAGCAGATGAAGACCTCTGTCTCTGTCTCTCCCTTTCTCTGTAATTCTGACTCTAAGTAAATAAATATATCTTTAAAAACAAAATAAAACAAACAAAAAAAACAGCTTATATTTCTATAGTAAATCCACTGGTTTATGACAAAAAGGCATGCTCAGGAAAAGTAACTAGTTATCTGCTCTTTTACTTATTGACACTCTTTTATCCAATAACTAATCTCAGTCTTTTCCTATTATGTGAACCCTTACAGAGAAGAATATGCAGGAACATACACAAGCGTACTTCTATTAAGATCTACTCAAAAATAAGGAAAATCTCCTAATCTATTTGACAAAACACTACAGGTAATCTAGATGAAGGTAGTCTATTAGTGAACATTATACTATAACAATAAACACTAATTCATTAAGATTTGATAATGTTGTTCCAATTATTTAAACTTTATCTACTGGACGGGCAACTCTACTCTAAATCCCTTAAACTTTTACAGTTCTCTTCTTTTTTATCATTACTCACTTGGAAGTTAATTCTATGTTATGCTACAGTTATGGAGAAATAATCCAAAAAAAAAAAAAAAAAAAAAGCAAGGACTAAAATAACACTATAGTCATATTATTTGTATTTAACACTAACTATGTGTTTAGACTACAGATCATTTCTTGAAAAAGCAAAATCTCATTAATAATACAATGAGAGAACAAGGCAACTTGTGTTCCCCCTGATTTTCAGTTTAAGGTACAGTCTTGAAAGGCTTCAATATAAATATATAAACCTTTCTTTCCTTTAACTCTACCTTATCACCAACATATCTGACTATGAATAAACGTCATCTCTGTGGTGGTTATGATAAGAACCAAATAAAACACTAGGCCTGTTATTAGCATCCATTTTTAGCTGATGAAAGTGAGAAACAAAGAACAAGACTGACATTATTAAAAAAAAATAATACCTTTGCTTTTTGTCACATGTTATAAAAGCAGCATGATATGAGTAAAACGTAATATTAACTATTTAGGTAAATTGTTAATTAAAGATACTCTAAGTATTTACTGCTATGAATCTAAGTTTTGTATATTAAGATTTATTTATTTTAGTCTCATTTCAATCTAAAAAATTTTAATCTGAATGTCATAGATATGAGCAGAATGAATTAGGAAGTAATGAAAATCCTTGGCTTAAAATATTCTTCTGTTATTTAATCATAGAGAAGTACAAATATTGAAATTATCACTAACTCAAAAGTCAAATATCTTTACACAAAAGTGAAGACAGCATTTAATTCTGCTGAAATTAAGGAGCTCATAATAAAGATCACATTCCTTTCCCTTTATTCAACAATAAGTTTTTGGAAAATTAACTGCAATTTCTATTGCTTCTGCTCCCACTGTACTTGATTTGTACTTTCAATGATCCTACTACTATATATACAGCAAGTTGAATGTTAAAATATGGGGGAAACTTTTATGAAAATAGCAAAATAACCTAAAACAGAAAAATTAAAACATCATTAAATTTATTTCAACATACTGTATTTATTCCACGCTACACAATAATTTCTTCTAGGAGATAAAATAATACAGACTGAAATTACTTATAATTGTTTTCTAACAGCAATAGTCTTATCTACTTTCAAATATGAATTCAATCATTCTATGCAGAAACTTTAACATACCATGATTAAAATTAGTTGTACATGGTGTCTAAACAAAACAATTAAGAATTTTACTGTTCCAGAGGCTGGCACTGTGGCAGAGCGGATAAGGCTGCTGTCTGCAGTACCAACATCGCATATGGGCACCAGTTAAAGTCCTGGCTGCTCCATTTCTGATCCAGCTCCCTGCTAATGCACCTGGGAAAGCAGAGGAGGATGGCCCAAGTCCTTGGGCCCCTGCACACACATGGGAGACCCAAGTGAAGCTCTTGGCTTTGGACTGGCCCTGACCACTGTGGCCATTTGGAGAGTGAACCAGCAGGTGGAAGATCTCTCTCTCCCTAATTCTGACTTTCAAATAAATAAATAAATCATAAAAAATAAATAAAAGTGTCAAGTATTAACAAAAAGTCTTTAAATAATTACAATAAAGATAAAAAGTCTAACTAATATGCTTTTAAAAACTTTTACAAGATGGTTAAGACTATTAATTCAGAATTTACATGTGAGCCAATGTAAGTTCTAAGGAATTTTGCCACTCTCTATTTAGATAATATTCTTCCTCAGACTATCTCCTCTCTCTTCCCAGCAATTTTCTAATGACTGTAAAATAACATTTACACACATACAACAGAAGAAACAAAACCAACCAAAGGAGAAGATCTGAAAATATATTAGCTATCTAAGCAAAACTGGTTAAAAATGAATTCAGCATTTTCCTTGAAAGAAGCCAGCCAAGCCATGGTCACAATCATGAAATGGTCATCTTAAGATGAAAAAACTATTAAAGGGAAGCAAACATTTCTGTTGGTACTAGGGGGAAATTCTTTGAATACCAAAACCCAGGTCTGAATCAAGTCAACATTCAAAATACAAGTAGCTTAATTTGTCATGAGGTACCTGCTGCAAACATAATTCCCTGCATAACATCTTCTAATTTTTACTAGAATCTTATCGTACATTACAAATGAGTATATACTTAGTTTTTCCCTTGCAAGTAATTTTCTATACCAAAAGCGTAATAGCCACTACGCATTTTCTGCTCAGACAATTACAATTCAACATTAAACACATAATTTCATACTTAAACATACAGCTGGTCCTTTGCTTTAATTTCAATTTTTCAAACCCCATATTATAATGTAATTGGAAGGAAAATTCCAAAATTGTATTTACAATAAATGAAAAAGGGATCAAGTTACTTCAATGCCATTTTAATTCCTCCCATTTTTACATATCAAGTGTAACCAAAAACTAAACTAAGAAGCAATACACCATTTAATGATGAGGGAAGATTCCTACACACACTCAAAATAGAATTAATGCTTACCTCCCCACGTACTGGCTACCTGAGAAGCAGTTGACATAGGATGTATAGATGGATGAAAAGTTGGCTGTTGCAAATCAAGCAGGTCATTTGGCAGCTTTGATGTGCTAGGAAGGTAATTTGGAAAGATCTTTTATTTACTAAACTTTGTTACATTAGCCATTCCCTCCCAAAATAAAAACGCTAAAAAGACAGGTGTGAAAAAGCCCCAATTGGAAAAAAATATATTAAAATACCTAATATTTTGAAACCTCAAAAAGAGGAACTAGTTGAATGTCCATAGTGTAACAGCATGTTTCTAAAGAGGCCTGGGAAAATGTTCCAACACTACAGCAACACACACCTACTAAGAGTTAAGAAGCAATTGAGAATGCATGAAGCAAGAGGTTCAGTTAGTCAAACTTACACTAAACTTTTATAGGAGTCAGTAGGTGGGAAAAAGACCTTTGAAGATGAATTAACAAGATGAATTAACAGAATTAACAGAAGATGAATTAACAGAATAAACAACAAGGAGAGGGAGGAGAGGGAGGAGAGGGAGGAGAGGGAGGAGAGGGAGGAGAGGGAGAGGGAGAGGTCTTCCATCCGCTGGTTCACTCAAAAATTGGCCGCAACAGACAGAGCTGTGACGATCCGAAGCCAAGAGCCAGGAGCTTCCTCCAGGTCTCCCACATGGGTGCAGGGGCCTAAGGACTTGGGCCATCTTCTACTGCCTTCCCAGGCCATAGCAGAGAGCTGGGTTGGAAGTGGAGCAGCGGGAGCCCATATGGGATGTCAGCGTTTCACCCCAGGGAGTTAATCCACTGCACCACAGCACCGGCCCCACTGCTCCACTTCTGATGCAGTTCCCTGGTAATGCACCTGGGAAAGCAGCAGAGGGTGGCCCAAGTCCTTGAGCCCTTGCACCTATGTGGGAGACCCAGAGGAAGCTCCTGGCTCCTGGCTCCAGATCGGCTCAGCTCCAGCCGTTGCTGTCATTTGGGGAGTGAATCAGCAGATGCAAGACCTCTCTGTGTAACTCTTTCAAAAAAAAAAAAAATTCTTTAGATTGAGAACCATTGATCTATACCATCCATTATCTCATTTACAAGGTTTTTGAAAGAAAAACTAGATTCATTTTATTTCATAAGCAGCAAGACATACAGAGATCTTCCACCTACTGGATCACTCCTCAAATGCCCGCAACAGCTAGGGTCAAGCCAGGCCAAAAGCAGGAGTCTTCCCATATGGGTGGCAGGGACCCAAGTACTGAGCCTACCAAAGTATGCAACAGCAGGAAGCTGGATCTGAAGTGGAGTCAGAACCTGAACCAGGCACTCCAGTGTGGGATGCACAAGTTGCAGAAGGCATCAAATGTTTTTCCAAACACCTGTCCTTTTTTTTTTTATTTTTAAATTGTATTTATTTGAGATGCAAAAAGACAGAAAGAGTGACTCCCATTTGCTGATTCTCTCCTGCAATAGCTGAAGTTAGGCCAAGGCTCAAGCAGGAACACAATTAGATTTCCCAAGTGGGTGGCGGGAACCCAATTTTTTGAGCCATCACTGCTGCCTCCCAGGGTCTGCCATGGCAGAAAGGTAGTCAGGAACTGGAATCCAACCAAAAAATTCCAATGTGCAATTATGGGTGTCTTAGCCACCAGGCTAAATGCCACCTACCAGAGAAGATTTGGCTTCTAAACTAGTTTAAGGCACTCTGAGGTAAAAGAATAATCTAGGAAAGGTAAGTTACTCTAATTTGCTGGAACATGTTACATTTCCATTGTGAAGAAGTTTACATTAGGCAGTAAAAATATTTAAGTTGGTGTGGTAGGTGTTGTAATCAAGAAATCTGGAAATTAAACTATCAAAATGTTATAGATTATAGAAGTTAGCACCCAGCAACAGATATGAGAAATTAATAACCAATGAAAAATATTTTGAAATATATACATAGCATACCCACCTATACCATATATAAGAGCTTTTGAGGGTACTGAAACATTAGATACTTCATAAATATGGTTAATCATAATTTCTACACAATGAAATGGTTTCCCAGAGATAATCACTATATTCCAATTAGTATAAATCAGTCATTTGGCCATCTTCCATTTCCTAAATACTGAGAATATAAACTTTTATGTTGATATTCCAATAACACCATTACTACTTTTTTGTTTGAATTCATAATTACAAAATCATAAATCAAAGTAAAAGTGAATAGTTCTACAAAATTTCTATTAAAAGTCTTTGAACCTAAATATTCAAAGGTAATTTCAATCAGACCTCTTACCTGTTAGAAGAACTAGGGGTAGAAAATATGTCAATGGCTGGTGTAGTCATTATTCCCCCTGCTGAGGTGGACACAGGAGAGGCTGCCGTTGTTAAAGAGGTATGAGGTTTCTTTGCAAGTTCCTTTAGGCGCTGCTCCTGTTGAGAAAGAGAACTAACATAAGGAATCTAGAAACAAGGTATGCTTGTATAGCCTCTAAAGAAGCATTTTCATCTTATTTTAATCAGGGATTCTCTCTTTTAACCAGTTGTTCTATGTCAGGAAGAAAAGTCTGAGTTTTTGTCCATGAATTAGCTATTTATTAAATACTTTAAGTTTGTGTAGAGGACCCCTTTACTTTATGTACATCTGTACTTGTTTTGCCAAATAAAGAAAATGTATTTACTTGCCTTTAAAGCTTTTAAACGAGCCTGTTCTTCCTCCAATGCTGCCTGTTTTTCCCTTTCATCCACTTTGGTCAAAGATAAGCCAGTGCTTGCCAGGGAAGAGACCGCATTGGAAAGTGTGGTTGCCCTAGAATAATTGGACAGAGAAAAATCTGGCTTTTTACCAAACATTACACATTGCAACTGGGTCATAAAATGATCTTGCAACCTTGCATGGATAGGTGCTGTAATTATGAACTTAATTTATACTCTTTAAAACCAATACTTCAGGTGATAAATTCTACCCAGTGATATACAGGGTTATAGCAACTAGAACATTATTGATTTAAACACACATTCACTGTTTTTAGAGTATGTATTCGTCTTTACAAAGGGTTCACGATAGAGAGGGGAGATTGCCTCCTTAAGCCCTCTGAGAAAGAACTAATGCAATTGGGAAAGAGCTCACATAGCCCCCGGAAAGCCCTAATGGTACAAAATACCGAGTTTCCTCACAGGAAAACATCCTTTACTGACCAACAGTCTAGGTTTTTGCAGTTATACTACAGAACATCAAAGCATGAGCACCAGTAGCATATAATGCATGTCCAGGTATGTTTCCCATGGTAACAACACTCAAAGATGTCATCCTCAGAGGATTTCAGGTTTGTTGAAAAGAAGAGTGGTTTCAATCGTATCACCAGTTCACCTGACACCTTTCTATGTTGAGCCCTTCTGCTATACTAGAATTTCATTTTCAAAGGTACTACACATATACAACGTATCATCTCTCATTGGCAGATTCACAACAAACCACCTCCTTTCCCCTGTATCAAAAATCTCCCATATATAAACCCAACACTAAATTCTAGGATAGACAAAAATATGTGCTAGAGAATTCTAACCTAGGGGCTGGCACTGTGGTGCCAGTTTCAGACCTGGTCTGTACCCACATAAGAGACCAAAAAGAAGCTCCTAGCTTCAGACTGGCCCAGCTCTGGCCATTGCAGCCATTTGGGGAGTGAATCAGCAGATTCATCTATTAATGGCTTTTTACTATAGCAATTATTTAAATCTTAATAAAGATTCAATTTATTAAAGATAGATACTAAACAATTAACAACTAAAATGAACGAAAGGAAAGCTCTTACTATGTGAAGGTTACTTCAAAGAGTTTATGAAAAAAAAATGGTATCAATAGACAAGACTATTTTGGTGAATGATTCATGTATAGTTTTTTCATAATCACATTTTTTACCAATAAAATCTGCATTAAGAAAACAGAATTAATCAATCCAATACAAAAATCATGTTACATACAAAATGGGTATTAGAGGATTTATGCTTTTTTCAGAATGCTAGGTTAACTAGTCTTTTTTTTTAAAGATTTATTTATGTATTTGAAAGAGTTACACAGAGAGAGGAGAGAAAGAGAGAGAGAAAGAGAGGTCTTCCACCCAATGGTTCACTCCCCAATTGGCTGCAATGGCCAGAGCTGTGCCGATCTGAAGCCAGGGAGCCAGGAGCCTCTTCTGGGTCTCCCATGCAGGTGCAGGGGCCCAAGGACTTGGGGCATCTTCTACTGCTCTCCCAGGCCACAGCAGAGAGCTAGATAGGAAGTGGAGCAGCTGGGTTTCGAACCGGCACCCACATGGGATGCAGGAGCATCAGGCCAGGGTGTTAACCCACTGCGCCACAGCGCTGCACCTTAACCAGTCTTATCCTAGAAAATTCACTGAAATCTTAATAAAAGGATTTAAATCAATGCCATGAACTGGCATTAGAGAAAAATGATAAAATTTGAACTCAGACATTCTAGGATTAAATCCTAATGTTAATACTACACAAGGCTATTGTGAGGTTTACATCAATTAATACGGAAGATACAATTAGGGGCCAGCGTTGTGGCGTGGTGGGCAAAGCCAGAGCCTGCAACACCAACATCCCAAATGTGGGTTAGTTAGAGTCCCAGTTGCTCCACTTCCCATCCTGCTGCCTGCTAATGCACCTGGGGGAAAGTAGCAGGGGATGGCCCAAGTCTTTGGGCCCCTGCACCCTTGTGGGAGACCTGGAAGAAGCTCCTGGCTCCTGGCTTCATTCTGGTTCAGCACTGGCCATTGTAACCATTTGGGGAGTGAACAAACAGATGGAAGACTCTGTCTCTCTCCATCTTTCTGTACCCTGCCTTTCAAATAAATATTTTTTTTAAAATTATATAATATTGGTGCTGTGGCGCAGCTGGTTAACGCCCTGGCCTAAAGCGCCGGCATCCCATATGGGCGCCGGTTCAAGATCTAGCTGCTCCACTTCCTGTCCAGCTCTGTGCTGTGGCTTGGGAAAGCAGTACAAGATGGCCCAACTGCTTGGGCCCCTGCACCCACGTGGGAGACCCAGAGGAAGCTCCTGGCTCCTGGCTGCTGGCTCTGGATTGGCGCAGCTCCGGCCGTTGTGGCCAACTGGGGAGCGAACCATCAGATGGAAGACCTCTCTCTCTCTTTCTCTCTCTCCCCCTCCCTCCCTCCCTCTCCTTTGTGTAACTCTGACTTTCAAGAAAAATAAATTTTTTTAAAAAATTATATAATATCATACAAATAAATACATTATCGATCATCTTTCAGAGAATTTTTATAAACCAATTCCACACCAAGAAGTCATTGTTACCATGTTAACAGATGCTGACATTTTATAGGGGGTCAGGAACTATTCCAAGAAATCACATGTATAAACCCATTTGATCCTGATACCAATTTTATGCGGTTGATTACTATAATCAAACCCATGCTACAGATGAATAAAGTTAAATAATTAAAACTTGAGCTAGAGTCATCTAGTCCCTAAAAAAAAAAAAAATCATTTCTGCTCTTTGCCGTATAAAGGATGTACCTGCTTGCAGCTGTAGAATCTTTGATTTTCTTTCCTTCCAAGGAAGCTAAATGTTGTTCCAAAGCATCAAGAAGACTGCTGGGGGCCTGAAATTATACAAACATTAATAATTTAACGACAATCAGCTCACTGTCCAAAATAATTCAAGTATAATCTAACTTATGAAAGCAACAAAAATAAAAAGGTATGTTTCTCATACACTAATTAACAGAACTTTAGCATATAATGAGAATGACAAATATATTTTTACCTAAACTTGACTATTTGAAGATATTCATACATTATGAAAAATATAAAAATTCAACCTATGTTAACATGAAACATTAAGAGCATCCTGCAAGCACTTAATTTTTATTATATTTAATTTTAAGTAAAAACATATTTCTAAAAGCTACACTACTGAGCATGGAGCAGGTAATTAGTAAGTACTTAATGAATAGTTCAGAGTGCCTAAACATTACTTTTGAATAAAATGTCACTGAAGTCTAGCATCAAGGAAATGCTAATTAAAATCATACTGAAACACATCAGTTCACTCACTAGAATGCTTAAGGTTAAAAAGACTAGCAATCTGACCTAATTCTACTCCTAATTATTTACCCAAAGGGGATGAAAAGAAAAAATTAGTCAACAAAAAATTGCAAATAATCCAAAAGTCCATCACTTGCAAAATGGATTTAAAAAAAGGTAAATTCACATAATGGAATACTATTTCAGCAATAAAGAATAGATTACTGGTCCACTCAATAACATGGGTAGATCTCAAAACACAAGATGCCAGAAATTAAGATTAAATACTTGTATGATATTATATGTACAAGTTTTAATTTTCTTCTATGGTTTCTGGCTCAGAACCCTCACAGTCCTTGTTATTTCCCAAGCAACTAGAGTAATGCTGAGGTGCTTTAGGCCTCAGAAGCAGGCTTCCAAAAGCAAAGTCTCTCTCTGACTCTTCCTGCCCTCCTTCCTCCTGTTCCTTTTTCCTCCCCAAGCAAATAGTAGAAACTACAATGTGTGGGGAGCAATCCGGACTGGACTGAGTTACTGGAATTAAGACTTATTCTATGCATCTGCTCTCCCACAATATGGCGCTGGGAGAGAAGTAAACAGCTTCCGCACAGCTGCCTCCAGTTCAGCTAATAAACTGTAGGACTTGCTCCTGATTGGAGAGCAGCGTACTCGGCGTGTGGGCAGCCGAGTTAGGATTGGCAGAGGAGGACTATAAAGGAGGAGAGAGACGGCATGCACCAGGAACATCTATGGGGAACATCTAAGGGAACCCGTGCAGCCCCCGAGAGAACCGGCCGGCGGTGTGCCGCTCCCCTGCGGAAGTGGGGAATGTGGCCAGGGGGAACTGCCCTTCCACGGAGGTGGAAGGGATAGTAGCCAACCCGGGAAGAACCAGCAGCAAACCCGGGGAGGGCCGAGCAGACAGAAAGAACAGCGCAGGGTCCTGTGTCGTTCCTCCATGAAGAGGGGGAGCGACATAATGGTGCCGTGACTCGGATATGAAGCCTAGGCAGGGTTTAGTGTCGCTCCTCCACGAAGAGGGGGAGCAACAACAATGTCTCTTCCCAAGGTGAGTCACAGAAACTAAAAATATACTCTAATCTCCTACTTACTCTTAGAAACTGGCCATAAAGGAATTCTCTTTCCTCTCCTGTCTGACAAATCCAGGATCGTCTCCTTCAGAAAGGACCCTGCCCCAAACCCAGGAGGAAGGAATGCTCTAGAGAATCCAAAAATCTGAACAGGAAAAGCCTTGCAGGGTTTCCCCACTCAGTGTATTAACATTATGATCACACCCTTTTTATTTGATCACATTTTACATGTCTGTCCACGACTCACTCATGCCTATGCAATGAAGTCTCCATAAAAACCCAAAAGGATAGGATTTGGAGCAATTCCAGATAGCCAAATACATGAGAGCTCCTGGTGGGATACCATGCTTGGGGAAGACACGGATGTTCAGCGCCTACATGCCTTGTCCTATGCATCTCTTCACCTGCATCCTAATAAATCAGTTAATGCTAAGTGTTTCCCTGAGTTCTGTGACCACTCTAGCAAATTAATCAAACATGAAGAAGGGGTTGTGGGAATCCCACCTTATAGCCAGTTGGTTAGAAGCACAGGTCAAACAACCTGGAGCTTACAACTGACATCTGAAGAGAGTGGGTAATATTAGGAATGAAGTGTCAATCTGTGGTATCTAACACTATTTCCAGGTACATAATTTCAGAACTGAATTGAATTAGGGGACAACTCAGACAGTATTTACTGCAAAATGGAATGCTTACACAGGTGTGTGGAAACTTGTCAAAAGGGATCTGTGTTGTGAGAATACAGTAAGAGAAACTGAGTTTGAGTCTGTATTTCCACTATATGTACAACTTGTTTGATTCCATTCATATTAAACTCATGAACTGATAAAATTATGCTACAGATTGAATATCCCTTGTCTGAAATGCTTGGGACCAGAAGTTTCTCAGATTTCAATTTTTTATTATTTGCATATGCATAATTAAATATCTTGGGATGAGACCCAAATATGAAACTAATTTATGATTCATATATATTTCATACAAATACCCTGAATGTAATTTTATGCAATATTTTTAGTATGCCTGTGCTTCTACTGCAATCCATCACATGACATCAAGTGTTTAAGTTTCCAACTATAGCACCATATTACCACTCAATAAATTTTTTATTTTGGAGCATTTCAGATTTTGAGATTAGGAGTGCCTAACTTGTATTAAAAATTCAAATATTGTATACGGAAGGGGTAAGGACTTACTGGAGCGAAGGGCACAAGAATTGGGGTAATGGAATTTATCTTGGTCTTGTACAGAGTGTTGGTTATACAAATGTTTATATTTACCAAACTTCAGTGAAATGGACATTAACCTCGATTTTTTAATAGTTGTTTTTAATACTCTTGGCCTATAGCTCAAATTGCAATTTAAAGAAAGCATTAATTACTTTAAAAAGCAAACTTTTTCAGTGTGCAGAGCAACAGCTGCTCACTTTAAGTAAAGCAAATATATCCATGACATTTACAAATCCCAACTAGCATTTGACATCCAGTTTCTGACATACAGAATCTAAAAACAGAGGTGGCAATATCTAGCTAATTTCTCATCATTTGTGACTTTAAAATTTTCTTTCATTCAGTAGTTTCCCTAAACAGCAAATACTAAGATCTTAGCACAAGGGAGATAGAGCAGAAAATCATTTAAAACCAAATGCTAGATCGTAAAATTGAAGTCTATATTGAATTGATAAGTGACTTACTGGGCCCAGCAAAATGTCTGATAATTAGCAGGCACAGCACTGTTTCAAGAGCTTTCCTTTGATGATAAGGATGTTGATGGCAGAGGTAACATTTAAGAGGCTCTTTTAATGTAGGAAGCACTGTACTAGGTACTTTGTATATAATGCATATATATATATATATATATATATATATAAAAGACAGACCCCCATTAGCATATCCATTTTACAGCTAAACAAGTTAAAACAGTGAAAATTCAGTAATTTGTTAAAGATCACATTTTTGACACATAGCAGAAGCCAAAAAAAATGGTTCTAAGGATGTCTGACTTTAAAGTCTATTTAGTAATATTGCCACTGAATCCTAGATTAAAGCTACAGTCATTCAAACTGCAGTTTCTTCCTTCTGAAGGGTATAAATTATGGCTTACAAATATTAAAGTACCAAGGAATCAGAAGGAATGACAAGCCATTTCTAAAATCCCTTCCAGATACATCTGGCTATTATTGAAAGTCAAACCCACAGTATAAAAAGTAAAGGAAATGTAATGTTTCACATTATTAACAGCTATTTATAACAAAAGAAAAAATAATCTAAAATTTCTACTTTCCTGCATTGCCACTACTGAAAATTTTTTGAATTACCAGAAGAATCTCTGGCAAGTCCCTCTGTACAGATAACACCAACAAAAAGGGAGAGAGACAGAGGATGGATAACCCTGTCTAATTATAATACAATGAATATTATAATACACATAAAGACAGTACGTAACTTCCACATATTGCCTGAGGCTGAGAAATTTTAAACAAAATAGAGGGGAAGCTGGCATAACAAATGGAATAGATAATGGGGGAATCAGAAGCTGCTAATTATTTTTTACTATACATCATTCATGCAATGACTCTTCTCACAATTAGGCCAGGATAATATGCTCGATATTAATGAAGTCATTCATCTCATGATGACATACACAGGAGTGCTTTATATACATATTCCCCTTTACTAGATCTATTACCATTATCCTTGAGATCAGATGGATAAATCTGAATGAGTACAAAGAAATCCAGTACCAACTACTAACATAATATTATTTAAAAGATGTACCAAAACAAGGTAAAGATTCCAACTGTTAAAGAAAGAGTTGACCCAAGTGTTGTAAGGATAGTTGGTGACAGGTACTTTGTTTCTTAAAACATTGAGAATAAGCCAGGAAAAAAAAAAAAAAACAAAACCTAGAGGTGTGAAGTCTGTTTTATAGAAATTTTTGAATATGATGATGTTAAAGATAATATAATCATAAATAACACTGGTTAAGTACTTAATGCTTTAAATTTTTTTTATGTATTAAATCATTTAATTTCCCAAACTACCACATAAGGTAGATACTATATTATCTCCAATTTATAGGAGATGAAACTGAAGCACAGAATACTTTCCCAAAGTCACATGAACAGTTAATGATATAGCCAGAACTCAGACTTCAGCAGTCACCCCAAAGCCTGCTCTCTAAACCCATTACTATGTTTTGAGGTTTATTCCCTACTACCTAAGTCAAATAGCCCAAGTAGGTTTAAATAATCTATTCTGATAAATAACAGGAAAAACAACTTCTTCATAAAATAAGTCTCTACCAGTTTTACAGTGAAAAATTTGCTTTTTAAGTAACATTCAATAAGTTCCATTTCCAAAGTTTTCCCTTTTTTTGGATAATGATGACTATGAGAAACAGAGATGAAGGGGAATAAATGAAAAATGGTAAAGCAGGTTAGACCACCAACGTAATAGGTAAGTAGATAATTTTATGTGGTAATAATGCTGGAACAATCTTTAGCAAAATATTAAAATCTGTCAAGAAATATCACACTGAATTCCTTGTCACTAGGGGCCATATATATTACTCATCTCAGTACTCCTTATAGCTGGCTAGCACAGACAACAAAAAGTGGATTGATTTTTTAAGAATATACTTACCTGGGAAAGGTCTGGTATATCACCTCTGTCAATTCCAACTTGCTGTAAGAAGAAGCAGCATTGTATTTAACACATAAAATTATAATAAAGATGATTTATAAATGAAATCTGAGATGACATCTATAGTTACTACTGTTAATATTTCAGATAGACTCCATAAAAATCAAGAAATCACCATTTCTAAGAATGGCTTAGATTTTTTTTTATTGTTCCAGAAGTTCTAACAGTAGGGGAATTTGAGTTGGAAATTCAAAAGTATTTAAGTTACCATTATCAGGCCTATGAACACCTATATAAGCTATCTTTCCACAATCTGAAAAATCCAACTGTGTCATATATAAAAACACTACTGCAAAAATGAGAAAAGTTAACCATAAACAAGTTCCCTGGGGCACAAAAAAGTTAAACAAATGATAACATTGACTTTATCTTTCTTCATAAAATATGCTTACCCTGTCAATTACCAGAGGGGATGCTTTTGAACAGCTATGTTCAATAAAGTAGGTCAGATTTTATATAAATGTCAAGTGATATCTAACCATGACGTAACTATCTCCACAAAACAACCCCAACAAACTTTGATGTTGTTAAGGCACTAGACAATTTCCAACAAAAAATATAAAACTGATCTGGGCATTGTGGCACAGCAGTTAGGCCTCTGCTTGGAACATCCAAATTCCATACTGGAGTGCCAGGGTTGAGTCCTGGCTATGCTCCTGATTCTAGCTTCTTGCACTAATTTATATCCAGGGAAGCAGAACATGATGGCTCAAGTATTTGATTCCTGCCACAACCAGCACTGAGTTCTCAGCTTTTATCTGGTCCCACCTCAGCTGTTATGGCACCTGGGGAGTGAACCAGCAGATGAGATGAGAGCTGGTAAGCAGGTATAGGTGGGTGTATGTTTGTGTGTGCATAAATAGTGCCTTCTTCAGGTTTTAGTATGTGAAATGAAATAACACTGACTTCTCTTTGAAAAATCATTAAATCTGAAATAATTTTCAGTAGGCTTCATAAAACAGCTGATTAACAACAAAGCTATTTTTTTCAAATGTCTCAACATCTTATTCCACCCTATTCCATCTGCTACATAATAGCAAGACAGTAACAGAACCTAGAAAATATGCTAATTCCAGAGTAATTATACTGATGTAACTGACCAAATTATTCTGGAAAGACATCTAGCAATGATGGGTATGGGAGAAAGAAAACAAAACAAAAAACCCTTAAGACCTGTCTTGGTGTTAGCAAAACAATGCCTATATGGATTATAATTGCCTTCTGTGGCAATTTCAGAAAATTGTTTTTTAAGGAGATTTGCAAGATTAGATTACCTTTTAACCTACATCCTTAGTTCTCATAATCAATGCTAAACAAAAAATACACAACATCTACTTCTATAGAACTAAATCACTTTCAACTACATGTCTTCAGATGTGAAGTCTCACTGAAAGATCTGTACTGACACTGACTATTCTCTACCACATAACAGAATAAACCTCCTAAAATACATGACTATTGCCAAACATAAAAATCACTGCTACCACTGTATGACATCCACCTAATTTCATAGAAAAGTAAATAATTTTAAATATATTATCTTTCATTATTCAAATTTGAATAAAATATATTTTATATATTAAGTATATTCATATAACAGATTCATTATAGTGAATTAATATAACAATATAAAAGGGGGCTTCAAAAAGTTTGTGGAAAATTTGTATAATCTTCCAATACCATTTTTCCAGGAACTTTGAAGCCCCTCAAATAACTTACCATATTTTAAGACTTTGCTTTTATTAGAATTCTGATTACCTCAGAATCCATACTTACAAACAAAAAGTAGGAGGCACAGTTACTTATACACACTTTACCTCTGCAACTTTGAGAAACTCTGAGATTCTTGTCATTCTAGTCAGGAACTTCTTATAGATGTCAAGACCTTCTTTGCACTGGTTCTTTTTCATATCAAAATATTTTTCTGCCAAAAAGTAAATGGAAAAATATTTTACTTATATAAAAATAAGTCACTAAGGAAAATAAATCACAACTCCAGAGAGATCATATAGGTCTCTCAAAGAACATACACACATCCTGGCAAAACATACGAATCTTAAATTAGCTCAGATATTTAACATAAATTAGAAGAGTCACTACCATTATACTAAAATGGAAAAGTTCATAATACTAGTTTGTTTCCCAATACTACTTTCTTCACAATTCCCTAAATATACATTTACAAGTAAACACAATCATACTTTACTCCATTTAAAATAGCACTAACATCTATTTCCAAACATTCTTACTAGTAGCACATTAACAAGGACTGAACTTCACACCATCCAAATGGCATATATCAAGCAGCAGTAAAGAGCTGCTGTTTAACAGATAAAAAGCAATACAGAGTTTATGTTACACTAATCATACTGTAGAAGACTATGCCTTCTACGGCTTTATAAAAATGTTTTTCATTTGTAAAAAAAAAAAAAAAATTTCCCTATACCAACAGATTAAAGTATTCCTGAACAAACTTGTGTATTCCAGCTTATGAAAAACCAATTTAAATGATTACTTTAAAAGGGGTGAGTGGGACAGCAATGTGGAGTAGTAAGCTAAGCTCCGCCTGCAGCACTGTAATGCCATATCAGCACCCAGTTCACATCCCTGCTACTCCTCTTCCGGCCCACCTCTCTGCTTATGGCCTGGGAAAGCAGTGGAAGATGGCCCAAGTGTTTGGGCCCCCTGAACTCACATGGGAAACTCAGAAGAAGCTCCTGGTTCCTGGCTTTGGATCGGCTTAGCCCTGGCCATTGTAGCCATTTAGGGAGTGAACCAGTGGATTGAAGACTTTTCTGTCTGTCTCTCCCTCCCTCTCTCTCTCTCTGCAACTCTACCTCTCAAATAAATGAAAAAAAATCTTTAAAAGGGGTGGGGAGAAAATAAGCACACTGAAATGAACATACTTGACATATGACATTTGATACTTTGATAACCTTTGCAGATAGTTACTTGTCTACTTCAAAGCCCACCGAAATGAGAATTCCTAGGCAAGATTAACTACATCCCACCTATGCTATATACACAGTAATTCATTACAAATTCATAAAGTATTTCAAAAGTAAAAGGTACCATTAATAAAACTCTACTCACTGGTTCGTTCCCCCACAACACCTGGGGATGGAACAGGCCACTGTCAAGAGCCGGTAACTCAATCCAGGTCTAATATGTCTTAGGTGGCAAGGACTCAAGATTCTGAGCCATCACAAGCTGCCTCCTTAGGATGAGCATTAGCAGAAAGCTGAAATAGGGAGGGGAGCCGGGACTCGAATCCAGTCCTTCAGACACTGGATGAGGGGATCCTAAATAGCACCTCAACCACTATACCAAACATCTGCCCCTAAATAATTATTGATTTTTAAATTGAGTTTTAAAAAAGATCAATTTTACAGAGTTTATTATGGAGTAAATCTTATGGAAAACAAGATTTTTTCTGGTATAAAGAATGTTGGTTTTACCTTTTTTTTTTTCTGATTGTAGCAATATATACATAACATAAAATTTACTATCTTGGGGCCAGCATTGTAGCATAGAGGGTATCAGCCATTGCCTACAATGCCACCATCACATATAGGCCCCGGGTCAAGTCTCAGCTTCTCCACTTCCCATCCCTATTAACAGACCTGGGAAAGCAGAGGAAGATGGCCCAAGTTCTTGGGCCTCTGCACCCATGTCAGAGACTACAATGAAGCACCTGGCTCCTGGCTTCAGCCTGGTTCAGCATTGGCCATTGCAGCCATTTGGGGAGTGAACCAGAAGACTGAAGACCTTTCTCTATCTCTGTTTCTGTAATTCTAACGTATAAATAAATCTTTTTTTAAAAAAAATTTTACTTCCTTAATACTTACCATTTATAAGGCATTTTTAGGTTTCTAAAAATTAATAAACTACACAGAAAAAAAATCAAAGATACACCTAAAATCTATCAAGTTCATCTGAGCTGAACATTCTGGATCTATTTAATCACTTGGATATACATGGTCATATATAATACCCTTTTCTCCAAATAGTTAAAATACTTGCATATCTCTGAATTTTCAGACAGCTTTAAGTAATAACTCAGACAATATTATTTATCTACATGACATAAAAACCAAAATGTTCTTAGATTACTTACCCAACAGGTTAATAATTCCTTCATTGTATGCTGCAAACAGTCTAATGGCATCTTTGAACAGGAGCATGAAGGCAGCATTTATTACCCCATTTGTAAGTTCATTGCTATTAACCTGGAACAAAATGGGAAAATAAGATTAGCTAATCATCTTAAAATGATAATGACAAAAAGACTTCCTTTCAATTAAAAACAGTAAATTCAAGCCTTCAGGCATTACAGAAAAAAAATTCTTCCCTAAATACATACATAATGAATATTGTAATACAAAATTTTCTCTGGATTGTTGCAGAATTACAGCCAAATCATACAAAAGAGCCACAAGTAAACAAAAATCTAAAAGGCTGGGGCCGGCGCTGTGGCATAGTGGGTAAAGCCGCCACCTGCAGTGCCGGCATCCCATATGGGTGCCAGTTCAAGACCCTGCTGCTCCACTTCCGATCTAGCTCTCTGCTATGGCCCGGGAAAGCAGTAGAAGATGACCCAAATCCTTGGGCCCCTGCACCCGCGTGGGAGACCCGGAAGAAGCTCCTGGTTCCTGATCAGCGCAGCTCAGGCTGTTGCAGCCAACTGGGGAGTGAACCAGTGGATAGAAGACCTCTTTCTGCCTCTCCTTCTCTCCGTAATTCTTTCAAATAAATAAATATTTTTAAAAATTATGCTGTAACAAAAAATATCATTTGTTTATCAAGAATACTGCAATTTTCTTCAGTTTTAGCTGAAGGAATGAATCAAAGAATAAAGCAAATTAATTCTAGGTTACTTTTTAAATAATATAAATAACTTATATTGTTACATTTAGAAAAGCCTAAGCACCAAGTTCAATGGTAAATGAGAAAAGAATAAAAAATATATGCAGAAGATCTAACAGGTTAGATTTTCATATATAGGAAGTATTCCAATTACAAAGTAAATAAGGGAAGGAAGTTATGGGGGGAAAAGACGCTATAATCCAAAAGTTGTACTTTGGAAATTTATATTTATTAAACAAAAGTTGAAAAAAAAGTAAATAAAAGACAATTTAGAAAGTAAAAAATACACGCGAATAACAGTGAAAAGGAGTTCAACTTCACTTATCAGATAAATTAAAATATATTGAATTGTTTTATTGAAATATTCTTTGAGCATCAAGATTAGCAAGTATCAAAAAGTAGACATAACTCAGTATGGATAAGAATGAAGAAAAATAAGCACCATTGACAAGTGACTAGTCCAACTCCTCTGAATATAAACAGAATACTAACTCAAATTTAAATGTTTATATTTTCTGAAAATCACTAACAATGACTTAGGTTAAAGGAAAAACCCTTTTCGGCATGAAACTGTCACAGTCCCATTTACTAACTTGAATTTCTAATATAAAATATCTTAAAACAGATGTCCCATTCCCACAAAAGAACAGAATTGAAATGCAATCTTACAATATTTAACAACTGGCATAATTTAGTTCAAATAAAGTTCCAAGAAAAATCCCATGGAACACATCTTTGGACAATAACTATATAAGAAACTATTACAAGCACTATTTGAATTTCCCTAGGGCCGGCGCCATGGCCCACTTGGCTAATCCTCCGCCTGCGGCACTGGCATCCAATAGGGGTGCCAGGTTCTAGTCCCAGTTGCTCCTCTTTCAGTCCAGCTCTCTGCTGTGGCCCAGGAGTGCAGTGGAGGATGGCCCAAGTACTTGGGCCCCTGCACCGACATGAGAGAACAGGAAGAGGCACCTGGCTCCTGGCTTTGGATTGGCGCAGCGCTGGCCGTAGCGGCCATTTGGGGAGTGAATGGAAGGAAGACCTTTTCTCTCTGTCTCTCTCTCACTGTCTATAACTCTACTTGTCAAATAAAAAAATAAATAAAAAATAATTTCCCTGTATTTCTTAATAACTGTCATGCTTTGCTTTGATTCCTACAAAGCATGGAAGTAAAATATTAAATTGTTAACTGAAGAAAATCCTTACTTTTTTAAAATTTATTTGACAGGTAGAATTATATACAGCTGGTCAGCTGTGCTGATCCAAAGCCAGGAGCCAGGTGCTTCCTCCTGGTCTCTCATGTGGGTGCAGGGGCCATCCTCCACTGCCCTCCTGGGCCACAGCAAAGAGCTGGACTGGAAGAGGAGCAACCGGGACTAGAACCCGGCACCCATATGGGATGCCGGCGTCATAGGCGAAGGATTAACCAAGCGAGCCATGATGCCAGCCCCTTACATATTTTTAAAATCTAAGCATCATTATCAAAAAGAAAAGCAGAATTTTGGGGCTGGCGCTGTGGCACAGTGGGTTAAAGCCCCAGCCTGTAGTACCAGACTCCCATATGGATGCCAGTTCGAGTCCTGGCTACTTCACTTCCAATCCTGCTCTCTGTTATGGCCTGGAAAAGCAGTAGAATATGGCCCAACTCCTTGAGCCCTTGCACCCAATGGGAGACCCAGAAGAAACCCCTGGATCTTGGTTTTGGATAGGCTCAGCTCTGGCTTTTGCATTCATTTGGGGAGTGAATCAGCAGAATGGAAGAACTCTCTCTCTCTCTCTGGCTCTACCTTTCTCTGTAACTCTGTCTTTCAAGTAAATAAAATAAACCTTTTTTAAAAAAAAGCAAATTTTTGGATCAATCATTTGCTTGTATATCCTCAAATTCTAGAGGAAGAGAAAAAGCTCTTAAGAATTAGAATAAATCTAAAACACAAAAATGGAAAATATTTAGGCAAAGAGAAATTTAGAGTAAAAAAGTAGTCTGAAAACTTGAGTATAAAGTTCTAATCAATTATAATTAATTTTTTTAAATCTTAAATTACAAGGCATAATCAACTTACATTAAAATCAAGAAGTGCATCCATTTGATTTTGAATAATTGGTACAGTTTTAAGGAGTTTTTCTGTGTTCATTGTTCTCATAACTCCATCAGCCCTATTATCAACAAAAAGAGAAAGAAACAAGGGAATTTGTCATTAAATCTACATTTTGAAATCCCACCTGGATCTCTGCTTAAAACAAAGTTGCTACGGAATGTCACATATTTAAGTCATTATTGAACCTGAAGCCTTACACAGAGATATTATAGAAAAAGTAGAAACAGGAAATATAACATACTCATTCAGAATAAAGGGTGTATGGGGTGATGGCACTGTATCAGAGTGCCAGTTTAAGTCTTGGTTACTCCACTTCCAATCCAGCCTCCTGCCAACGCACCTAAGAAAAGAGCTAATGATGGGCCAATTTCCTGGGCCTCTGCCACCCATGTGGGAGACCTGAACAGAGCAGGCTCCTGGCAGATATCTGGGGAGTGTACCAACAGATCCCTGTCTGTATCTATAAATAAGTACTTTTTAAATGAGTAAAACGATGTAAGGCATGAGACGTAAGAACAAAGGCTCACTTCATATAGCAAAGTCTATAGCACACTTTTCACATGAGGAAATCACTGGATCTTCAAAGCAATTCATTCATGTAAAGGGCAGTTTTACAACTTTTAAAAACAGTAACAGAAAAATCACTTACCTCAAAAATCACTAAAGAGTCAAATATTATGGAATCAGTATTTTAACAATTTTATCCATAACTCCAATACCAACAGCTTGTAGTACAGAAAACTATGTTGAAAACCACTCTATTACAAAATAAAGGACAATTTTACCAAGAAATTCTGATTGTTAAACAACATACTTAATAGGAGTACTTTTAATAAAGTACTTTGTTAAATATTTCCAAATAGATGAGTTAGAAATAATATTTTTCTAAAGACAGAAAAATATTAGCAGTATCAAATAAACTATAACTTCACAAAACTGATACAGAAAACTCACTAGATTTTTTAACAGGTACTAGAGTTGTTGCATATTTTGTGCGTGTCTAGAGAGAAGGCGGGAGAATCAGTATTATTATTAACTGGAGATTCTAAGTAAAGCATACAGTTCTCTGTAATATTCTTGGAACATTTCTGGAAGTGAAATTATTCCAATGTTAATTTTTAAAGGTCAGTAAGCTCGTTAAAATACTTTACCACAAAGACCTTCATTTAGAGTGAAACTAGATTCAGATCTAGATTCATCTGACTAGAAAAGCATGTGGGCTCTTATCACTATTTTGATGAACAGCAAAATAATCACACCTGATTAATTTTGGAATGATGACATAAAACATTTAAGTTCTGCTTTTAAGCAAACTCTAGGAAGCAGCAGATGATGGCTCAAGTAGTTGAATGCCTGCCACCAATATGGGAGGCCTGGATTAAGTTCTTGGTCCCAGCCCCAGCCATTGCAGGCATCTGGTGAGTGAACCAGTAGATGGGAGCTCATTCTGTCTGTCTCCCTTTCTTTCTGATTCTCTTAAACAGACACACACACACACACACACACACACACTGAAATATTTGAATAGTAGAGCAACTCAGAAAAGTGTTCACCAGGGTATTTCTGCAAATGCCAATTTGCCCACAGGGTAGTCCTTTATACTCTACAAGGTGATCAATGTCCCAACAGAATGTATTTAGTGGCTTTTTCCTAAGGTTTCACCAAGAGGAAAAACCTGTGTTCCAGCATCAGCATGTACAGAATCACTGACTCTATCATTTATGTGGACAAGGTCACATACTAAGATGACTGTTATTTAGGATGCAGCAAAAACTAAACCTAGCTTCTATATTCAAGACTAAAAGGAATCTTAAATAAACAGCACAGAAAGAAGATTCAAATAAACAGAAAAATAGCTCATTCATGCGCTAGAAATTTAATGTGTTATGATGGTAATACTGCCCAAACCGACACAGATTCAATGCAATTGCTATCAAATCTTAGCTGTCTTTTCTGCAGAAATTATAAAGCACATGATAAAATTCATGTGAACATGTAAGAGGTCCAAAAACAATCTTGAAAAAGAATAGAGTTGGAAGATACATATTTTGATTTCAAAAAGTAACAATAATCATCAGAGTATGGTCCAGGTATAAAGATAGACATTTGGGTCAACAGAACACAATTCAAGATTCAGAAATAAACTTTTACTTATAGTTACTGGGAAAAAAATCTTTCCATAAAATGGTGCTTGGACCATTATAATGGAATATCTATATACAAAAGAATAACTTAGCCTGCATACCTCATACCATACACAAAAATTAAATTCTAAATAGATCAGAAACCTAACTGCAAGAGCTAAAACTACAAAATTCTTAGAATAAGACATGACAGTAAATCTGTCACTCTGAGTTAAATCAAATTTTCTTAAACATGATGCCAAAAATATAAGCAACCAAAAAAACAGATCAACAGGACTTTATACAAACTAAAAATGTTTGTACTTCAAAGGACAAAATGAAGAAAGTGCTATGAAAGGGGAAAAATATTTGCAAATCATAAACATGGTAAGTGACTAACATCCAGAACGCATGTAGAACCCCCTTATCTTTGGCCAATGTTTCAAGACCTAAGTGGATGCCTAAAACTGTGGATAGCACAAACCCTCTATATACTAAATGACTGCAGGCAGGGAGCATGGATATGCTGAGCAAAGGCTTGATTCATGCTAATCAGACCAGTGTGCAAGTTAAAATCTGGAATTCTATGTTTAATATTTTTGAGGCCCAGGTTGACCATCAGTAACTGAAACCACAGAAAAAGGGGTAGGAAAATATAAAAAACACTTGCAACCGGTCAGAAGATAAACAACACAATTTAAAAGTGGGCAAAGGATTTGAAGAGACATTTTTCCAAAGATAGACAAATGGCCAATAAGCACATAAAAAGATGCTCAAAATCATTAGCGATCAGAGAAACACAAGCTAACACATATGTCCTTACATATGTCATAAGTGCTGCAACTTGCATACATCATACACTAAGTGAAAAAGTCAGTCACAAAAGGCCACATATTGTAAGATCTCATTTATACAAAATACCTGTAATACGCAAACCTAGAGACTGAAAGTAGATTTATGCTCTGACAATCAGGAATGGAAAATGACTATTAACAGGCATGGGATTTCTTATCAGGGTAATGAAAATGTTCTAGAAGTAAATAGTAGTAACACAGTACACCTTTGTAAATACAGTAAAAACCAGGGAATTGTACCCACTAAAAAGGGTGATTTTTATGGTATTATTTAAAAATTACCTGATATGCCTCTTCAAAGAAGTTACTCTTTCAAAAGTAACTCATATTCCAAAATTTATAATGGAATTATGAATGTTTATAACTATAAATGCATTTATTATTGATTCATAATTCATGTTTTATATTTTAATATTCATGCCATATAAAAAAACAGCTCAACTCACCCTCTCTTCACTTTTGTGAAATCAAATGCAACTTGTCTGTATGAAACTGCTTTTTCATTTAAGTATCTACTATACCGCCTAATAAATGTAGACATATCATATCCTGTAAGAAAAGAAAAAGGTTTCATAAATATTATAATCATAATTTGCCTAGAAAAACTTATTTTATTTTATGGTAAAATCTTAATATTCCAACTCAGTTTGGTGGCATAAATTAAGTTTAATTAATGAACATTATCATATTAAATTAAGATTTCACTTTTTTAAAGTTAGATAGACCATATATATGTGGCTTGACACAAATCCTTTTTCTTAGAATTCACTAAAATAAAAGTTTGCTTTGCTTATGATCAAGACTTTTATTTTTGGCCGGCGCCATGGCTCACTTGGCTAATCCTCTTTCTGCAGCCCCAGCACCCCGGGTTCTAGTCCCGGTTGCTCCTCTTCCAGTCCAGCTCTCTGCTGTGGCCCGGGTAGGCAGTGGAGGATGGCCCAAGTACTTGGGTCCCTGCATCCGCATGGGAGACCAGGAGGAAGTACCCGGCTCCTGGCTTCAAATCTGTGCACTGCTGGCCGTAGCGGCCATTAGGGGAGTGAACCAACAGAAGGAAGACCTTTCTCTCTCTCTCTCTCTCACTGTCTATAACTCTCTCTCTCTCTCTCTCTCTCTCACTGTCTAACTCTGCCTAGCAAAAAAAAAAAAAAAGAAAAAAAACTTATTTTTTGTTCATCAGGAATTGAAAACACTAATTCTCTTTTCCAACTTGATAACCTAACAACTGAAAATTAGCATCCTATAGAACTATGATCCCATTCTTGAAATTAGACTACATCATTTTTATATGCAGACTCATGAAATCTTTACTTAACAATCATGACTTATGTGTCAATCTTATAAAAAGTAGATTAAATTACTGCCTAGCACAATAGAAATGGCAATATGTAAACTTAAGACACAATAAAAATCAATTAGAGTAAGGTTCTCAATAAAACTTTCTGAATGAATACATTATGTATTCTAAGATATTGGTTCATCATACTCATGAGCTCTGAAAACTTCAGCATCATGAAACCCCATCAGTATTCACAAACACCAAAAATCTTATGTATTTATTAACGCGTTAATAAATTGCCTCAAGGAAGTCAATAAATGCTTGCTTCTCATAAAAAACAGATCCATTTTTAACTCATGCTTATCTATCAAATTTTAATGATAAATTCTCTTACTTTAAAAAGACAATACTAAACAACCATCAACCCCATCCCACCCTGCCACAAAACAGATAAAGTGACTAGATTTCAAGCAATCACTAGTGGACTTTAGAGAGTCTTCCATAATACATTCCTCATCTTTTTGGTTCACATCGTTCCCCCTAATCTACTCTACAACATCCTCTCTGTTAAGGGACATACCTTATCCTTCAAGGTTCGACCTCTTAAAACACTCCCAGAACTCTCTCTTTGTGCCCCCATGTTATTCTTACCCTAAGTAAAACTTGGAACTACTATGGCAAGCATACTGGCCCAACAGTTAAGACTTCAGTTGGGATGTCTACATCCCATATTGTGGTGCCAGGGCTCCATTCCTAGCTCCATTTCTAATTTTAGCTTCCTGCTGATGTGCATCCTATGAGACAGCAGGTGATGGCTCAAATGGTTTGGTCCCTGCCACCCATGTAGGAGATCTGGATTGAGTTTTTGGCTCCTGGCCTTGGCCTGGCCCAGTCCTGGCTGTTGCCCCAACCACTAAGGCATTCGGGAAGTGATTCAGCAGATGACTGTGCGCTCATGCTCTCTCTGTCTCTCCCTTTTCCTCACTCCAGTTCTATCTCTCTCAAATAAATAAAAAATTAAAAGAAAACATGTGTGTAACTATTAGTTGGATACAATCTAGAATTTTATTTACATGCACTCAGTCTAATATCCGTAAGTATTTAATAAAACGTATATACATATCCAAAATATATCAGCAATCAAAATTTCTTTTCAAAGACACCATGGAACACTGTCCACTGTTTATTTCATTTTTCAAATATGAGCCTTAAAAAAAAAAAAAAAATACTTGGGGCCGGCGCTGTGGCGTAGCGGGTAAAGCTGCCGCCTTTAGTGACAGCATCCCGCATGAGTGTTGGTTTGAATCCTGGCTGCTTCACTTCCCATTCAGCTCTCTACTATTGCCTGGAAAAGCAGTAAAACATGGCCCAAGTTCTTGGGCCCCTGCACCCACATGGGAGACCTAGAAGAGGATCCTGGCTCCTGGCTTAGGACTGGACTAGCTCTGGCTGTTGTGGCCATCTGGGGAATGAACTAGCCAATGGAGGGCCCCTCTCTCTCTCTCTGTGTAACTCTTTCAAATAAATAAATTAAAAAAAAAAAAAAAAAAACACATTTGGATATATGCTTAAACTGAGCTCTAGAGCAGTAGTTTACATATAGTTTCCCATAGACTTTTAAATAAAATTAACTGAAAAAGGAGAAGAAAACCAGAAATAACAGGATTAGCTGGCAGAGTTTCTTCCACATCCTTTAAAACAGGGGAGACTAATTTTTATTAGTTACACTAGGGTACTTCAAAACTTTCATAGAAAATGTAATTAAGCATAAATTTACTTTGGTGCAAACAATTTTGAAATCCAGTTTTCCATAATATGCATTTCCATTAACTTTTTGAAGACCTTTATATATATCCAGCTTCTGTTTAAGATTTCATTTCAAAATGGGACCTATTACTTAAATTTTCCCCCTTTAACATGGAGCACTATAACTCTTCATTAAAATGAATTTTGTTAACAATGGGTTCTACATACAGATTACTAGTTCTAGAATTTCTAGAAAATAGAGTACTCAATCCATTCTAAGTAATACTTTCCACCTACCAAATAAAAAACAAGCATTGAACTGGACAGCCCCTAACACAAACAGTCAGTTACTCAATTCCATTGATTTTACCTCCACAAGAACCACAGTTCAGGCCCTCATTAACTCTCCACTAGATGACCAGAGCGATGACTGGAACAGTCTCAACATCTTCAAGACTTGGTCCACTCTGTTCCAACCTGACTGAGCAATGATACTTTCTTTATAAGACATACTTCCTTTGCCCCTCATCCCTCTACTCAAAAAAACTGTGATAGCTTCCCATTACGTTATAAAATCAAACTCCATCAAAATTTTCTGTGCCTGATTTTGGCTCTGAAAAGCTCCCTAAGGGCTATCTGACACAACATGTTCTCCAAAACACCTTCCACAATTCTATTCACATTCCTTCACTCTATAAATTTTAAAAACTCCAAGTACTTTCCCATTCATATACATCTATGTACCTGTGTTTAAACAAACTCATTTTCTCATCCATCTCTCAAATCCCAGCACAAATCTCACATTCTCTAAAGACAGTTTCCAGATTGAGCCTCACTGTTAATAATTCCAAGTTGTTTTGGTATGTTCCTTATGAAGTTCTTCCTACAGCTGAAATTCTAAAATGTTAATAGCCTAGTTCTGGAACTAAATTCAACAGATCCCAACAAGACAGAATGTGCACAACTGGCTACAGCCAGATTATGGCAATTTCAAGTTACCAAATTTAAAGTAAAATAAAAAAAATAATATATGTGGGTATCAATGAACCCACATTATCATTTGAACAATGCTATACTCACCTTAGCTACTGAAAAATAACATTCTAACAACATCTCTTAAAGTGAAGCATAAAATAATAATAAAACAAAAACAATAAAAGTATGTATACAGTTATTTCCTGTGTGCCGGGCATTAATACTTATTGACTAGGTTAAGCCTCATGATAACCCTATTGGGACGGTACTCTCATTACTTCTGATGTTACAGATGCAGAGAAGCAAAGTAATTTGCTCAAGTTCATACAGCTGGTAGGTGGTAAAGATGGGATTCAAACCTAGGCAGTCTAACTCTACAATGGATGTTCTCCAAATACTAATAATACATCTCTCACAGAGCTCTCAGTGTCAGGGAAGAAACCAATCCTAATCTTCCAAATTATAACATCGTTTTTTCTATCCTACAAGTATCAGTACAATGTGAAGTTTAAAACAGCACATTCTGAAGACAAGAGTTCAATTTTTTAGTGATCACTAGGTGGCATTAGCTCTGATTTTCTACAGTAAGTTGTCTTTACCTTGCAATCCACTTTTATCCAAAAAATTGCTCAAGTTAAACAACGTGTTTCTTGAAGCCAAATACTGAATGAAGCGCTAGGGATTAAAAAAAAAAATCACAATCAAAATAAGGTACTGCCATCATATCATAAACTTTCATGTGAAAATGAGAAGTTATGATTAATACATCCTATTAGGTTTATCTGGTTTAAACTTTTCACCCTTATTCTTCTCATAACTAGTTACCAAACACAAAACCAATACAGATTTTTCATTAGCATTATAGGAATTTATTAAGTGTAATGCCTACGGCTGTAAGTAATAATGTCAAAATAATAAAAGGAAATCAGCACTTTTAAATTGTACCAGCAATTTTGTTTTTATTGCAGCACATTAGTACTACAGCTAATCATATTCAGATGGTGTCTGTATGTTAAACAGCCACCTGGTATTCCAAACTTTACTAACTGTAAAAAAACATTTCTAGTTATAAAAGAGAACAGTATTATAGAAACCCACTTACTCAATGTCCAGATTAAATACATTAACATACACTTCAGATCATGTTCTAAAGTCAAAATATTATAGACCCTATTAAAGACACACATCTTCAATATCATTCCCTTTCCTCTCTCTTCAAAGGTGATTATTATTCTGAAGCAGAAAACTGCATGTAATTTTATCTTTTCAATTTACATACTAAACTCTTGAACAATGTGCTTTTCAATTCAACTTCTTCCCAAGAATGATCATTTAATATATGTAAATCTATTTCACTCATTTTAAACGGTATTCTAGAATCTCAATCAACTAATATTCATTATGTATCCATGCCTTTATTTATGGATATTTAAGTTCATTCCAGTTTTCACCATAAACAATGCTGTATAACTTCTTCATACTTGGTCTCCATGTGCAAGTATACCAAAGTTTCTTGGGATATACACTTAGCATTGGATTAAGTCAGCATTTATGTAAATATGTTCACAAAGTATTGTCCAAATACTCTACCACTACCTTTATATAAAGCATCTAGAACAGACAGTTAAAGAAATGTTTCAACTTTTATTTCCCTTAGGGTTCCTTTTTTCTTTCAAAATCTGCATGCTGAGTATCACTAGCGACAATGATGTACATTATCCCTCGACTCCACTTTGTTCTCTTGCAATCACCCCAAATTAACAACCAGGATTTTAAAAGCTAATTTGTAAACCTAAGACTGTTTCATCATTATCTTGAAACAATTTGTTTCAAATGAACATTAAAACAAATAACACTGTAGTAAAACAATGATTTTTATAGGCTTTGATAACAGTTTCCTTAACTTTTGCACTTTAGGAATCAATGTAAATATTTTAGTCATTTCTATGACTTTAGATATAACAAACAATTTTTTTTTCATTTTACTAGTCTTCACATAATTTTTAGCTCCAAAGATACATAGCTTGATCAACTTGACTTTGTTTCTAATAGCATCCTAATATTTAACTTGGTATTCCATTAAGCACCCCACCATCTGGCAAGTAATAAGGTCAGAAGTTTTCTTCTGGGTCTTAAGAGGTAACGTGAAGGGCCGGTGCTGTGACATAGTCCTTGGGACCCCACACCCATGTGGGAGGCCTGGAAGAAGCTCCTGGCTCCTGGCTTCAGATCAGCTTGGCTCGGGCCATTTAGGCCAGCTGGGGAGTCAATCAGCAGATGGAAGAACTCTCTCGCCCTACCTCTGCCTCTCTGTAACTCTGCCTTTCAAATAAATAGATACATCTTTAAATAAGAGAGAGAGAGAGAAAGAGAACTTTGGGGCCAGTGCTGTGGCGTAGTTGGCTGAACGTCCACCTGCTGCACCAGCATCCCATACAGGTGCAAGCTCCTCTTCCAATCCAGCTCCCTGCTATGGCCTGGAAATGCAGCAGAAAATGGTCCAAGCGCTTGGGCCCCTGAACTCACATGGGAGACCCAGAATAATCTCCTGGCTCCTGGCTTTGGATTGGCCCAGCTCCAACCATTGTGGCCATTTAGGCAGTGAATCAGCAGATGGAAGATCTCTCTCGCTCTCTCTCTGTACCTCTGTCTCTCAAATAAATAAATATAATCTTAAAAAAAGAACACAGAGATAACAAGACAGTACCATCTTAAAACTATTGTTTTAAAGAACAGCAAAATATCCATAAATGCTGAAACAGCATGACAGGTACAAAGATATTTATTATACTTTTCTATACTATTATATGCTTGAAATTTTTCTAAAATATTTAAAGAATATATATTGCTTAGATAATTTATCCACCTAGCACACTACATCCATGAATGACTCTATGTTTCCATGTTTTGAATTTCACCTACAATTTTTAACTCTATATTTTTATTTATTAATCACCTACAACTAGTCCTGCTACAGCAGATGTCTTACTCAATTATGTTTGCCCACTAAGGTTTTATATTATTGATGAGGAAACTAAAACTCACAGAATTGACTCACTTATGTAACCCAATTGGTAAGCGAATGGGATAAGAATACCTAGCCACCTGATGTCAGGACCATATGACAGCCAATTCAGTTTCATCCTTTTGAGATTTCCTCTGTGGTTAGGATTTTCATCTTAACACTACTGATACTTTGGACAGATAGTTCTTTGTTGTTGGGGGCTGTTTTGTGCACTGCAAGATGTTCATAAGCAGCCCTAGGCCCTGTCAGACACTAGCTGCATCTCTTCCAGTTGTGACAAGCTTCCTTTGAAAAGTTAAAAAAAAAAATAATAATCACCTCCCTTTCCTGCCCAGGTTGAGAACCAGTGTTCCTTGGTATTACCATCATCATATCAAAGTGAAGACCCGAAAACTGCACAAACTAGGTAAAAAAATGAGCAGACCATGAGCTTTACATTAGTGATGAAAGGAAACTCAAGATGAGTTTATCTGAAAACCATACGGAATGGGGCAGGCATCGGTCTAGTGGTCAAAACACCAGATACGTTGCTGGTGTCCCATTCTGGAGTCCCTGGATTTGAAGCTCAGCTCTGGCTCCTGACTCCAGTTACCTGCCAATGCAGATCTTGGGAGGCAATGGTGTTAGCTCAAGTAGGAAGCTTCCTGCTATACAAGTAGAAAACTTGTCCCAGCTCTCAGCTTCAGCCTAGCCCAGCTCAGCCCTGGCTGATCTGGGCATTTAGGGAATGAAACAGTTTGTAATTTCCTAAGAATCAAAAAGTTAGGTGCTAAGCCAAACATGGAAAATAAGATGATTCTCTTTAAAAAGAAAATTTCAAAACCTTATATATCTCACTACACATACCCTTGTGGGCAATAAAAGTTTCAGATACATAATCAGTACCTATAAGCAAAACACTATCATGGTCCTCAACTAGGCAAAGTGTTGTCCAAGACAACTATAGAAAAGCAGTCAAAAATCTGATCGAATTTTAAAAAAAGGGGCAAGTGGACAAAGACATTTTATAACATCTATGAACAAGGCCTGTGAAGATCAGAGCTTATGGAACATACCTCCAGGCATGATCTTTGCTTCTTGATCCCATTACTGAAATCCTCTGTGCGCTGACCCACTTTCTGCTTTCTGGCTTACAAGCCATGTTTCCTCAAATTGCAGGAACTATATTTTACTATATTACACTGTATTATATTATAATTATATATTTCATATAAATATACAATTATGTAATATAACCATTATGTAATTACATTCCTGTCCTTTTAACCTGTTTATCCAGCTGCTGAAGCTACTTTTTAAGTATTAGTGACAAAAGCAAATTGAATTAGTAATCATACCAATATACTTACTCAATTACTTACTTTTTAATCAAGAATTCTGCTTACCTCATTTCCATACACCATCAGATGGTGAGTTGTAATGAGAGACTTGAAGACCACCACCCAACTACTGTTAGTAGTTCTTTCAAATAAACTGTCGGCCAACTGCGGGATGTTCACATTCATCTCATTTGTGCATTGTATCAAGTCTGAAATTTAAAAAAAAAAGATATTTTAAGATCAATTTCCTTCAGGTTTTAACTGTTAATACCAAATTTGCATGCTAACAGGCAAAAAATCTAAGTGGAATAACAATCATTTTGGATTTAAAAATTTTTCAGGGGCGATAATACTATAATCCACCTGAGAAGTAGGGTATTTTCTGATTAGGATTACATAAATGATTATTAACATGAGAAAATAAATTAAACTTCCTCAGGGTATTATTCACCCTTAAGTGCTTTAAAGAAATCATAGATACAGACACATGAACAAACTGAAGGTTAAATTACATTTATTAATATTACCCCAGGGATTGGCACTGTGGCAAAGTGGGTTAAGCCACTCCTGTGATGCTGGCATCACGAGTCCTGGCTTCTCCACTTGCAATCTACCTACCTGCTAATGCTCCTGGGAAAACAGCAGAGTACGGCCCAAATGCCTTGGCCCCTGCCACCCATGTGAAAGACCCAGATGAAGTTCTAGGCTCCTGGCTTTGGCCTGGCCCAGCCCTGGCAGTAGCAGCCATTTACACAGTAAACCAGCATATGGAAAATTATTCTCTAACTTTGCCTTTCAAATAAATAAATCTTTATTAATATTCCCCCTAGAGTGCTGTATCTGCACTAATATGAAGATAACTGAGTCTGTGATTGAGTAGGATCTCTGTTTATGTAAAACATTTCTTATTTTTCTCTCCCTTCAGTCCTAATGAGTTAGCTCAGGTTTCAGTCAGTAGCTGATATCGACAATCAAAACTGAAAATTGAAATCTTCTATTACATAAGCTTCCAAATCAGAAATGACTCAGGAGCTCTATTTTACCCAATATTATTCATAACAAAGTTAGAACAATATAAGTTCCAATTTTATGTTTCAAACCCAAAAGCAGGACAATAAAAAGTCTAATAACAACTGTTTCAGTATCAAAACAAAGTTCTTAATGGACCCCAGAGTTTTACCTAAAACCTGCTTAAAAGATATAATTGGCAAACTCAACCAAGACAACACAAAATATAATCCAATTTAGAGAAATAATGAAGAAGCCCACAAAAAAAGCTGTTTTAAAAATACATATAGGGGCCAGCGCTGTGACACAGCAGGTTAAAGCCCTGGCCTGAAGTGCCGGCATCCCACATGGGCGCCGGTTCTAGTTCCAGCTGCTCCTCTTCCGGTCCAGCTCTCTGCTATGGCCTGGGATGGCAGAAGATCGCCCAGGTCCCTGGGCCCCTGCACCCACGTGGGAGACCCAGAGGAAGCTCCTGGCTCCTGGGTTCAGATCAGCACAGCTCCAACCGTTGCAGCCATCTGGGGAGTGAACCAGTGGATGGAAGACCTTTCTCTCTGTCTCTACCTCTCTGTAACTCTGTCTTTCAAATAAATAAATCTTTTTAAAAAATACATATAAAATATAATGTATAAATATATTAACTACATCAGAAAAATTAAAGCTCTTCATTCCAGTAATATGTCCACTTTTAATCTTTAGTATACTATAATGATTAAATATGAATTCAAATGACCTAACTTGGTTTGACTGCTTAAATAAGTGACAATGTAACTATTAACATTTACCTACTTCTAATCTTCAAAATGTTTGCTTTATTACATGTAATTATTAAAGTAGCATTTGCTAAACAAGTACATTTATAGCAGCAGTTACCCCAGCAAATCCTGGTTAAAAGCAAAACAAAGAACAGCTAAACAGAGTGTCCAGGGAACATCAGCATGACACCAGACTTTCACAATTTAGGCTACCTAAACAAAAACTAAATAGCAAATTCACTTAGGTGTGCATGGTTCAGCTTCTCCTAGTAAAAAATGGCATTTCATCTCTGCCTTGTCTGAATCTTCATAGTACTTTATGCCTGTCTTGTGGCAGTGAACATTATACTTCCCTTACTCTAAATATAATTAATCTGCAGAATGCAAGACCTATCTATTGCTTGTTCAGTTTTAATCCTTTAAATATAAAATATATTTAAATATTAAAGTACAGTAGTAAAGTTCTAAATTTGGTTATAAAAAGCTATATTTCTAGCTTCCTTCCTGGCCATCTTTATAGACCTATATTTTTTTCTCTATATCTTTGCACAAACTTTTCTTGATAAGCTGTTCAATTCTAAAATATAGTAGTTACTTCTTTATGATGACATCAGAAGTAATTTTATTCCTTAGAATCTTATTTTCTTAGTTTTCAAAATTGAACTTGTCACAAAATTTATTACAATACTGCCCATACATACACTGTGTATGCTAATATACAAGGAATCTTCAAAAAGTTCATGAAAAATGTGTATTAGGAAGCACAATGCATGAATTTCAAATCTCTTACACCAAAATAAGCTTATCATAATTCAATTTTCACTAACAGTTTAAAATACCCTCGTATATACATTCCCAAGATGCTATCAGTATCCACGTCCTTTTGATTCTATTTCCTAAAACTCTAGCAAATCCACATTTTCTTCTCCATCCCAAAACCAGGGTGAAAGCCAAAGTCAAAGTTCAGGTCTTATTTATCTAACCAAGGTAAGGCATTGTGAAGTCAGGGAGGGGGAATTATCATACTCAAAGAGGTTTTACTAGTACTTAGTAACACAGAAGAGGGAGAACTGTCTTATAGTGCACAATCAGTACTCCATAATTCAGATTGCTCTCAATGAGAAACACTGACCTGATTGGTCTCCTCATTTCTGATGTGATACTTCTAATTTGGGATCTCTCCTACCCCACATCCCCAGTCATTCTCTAAACTGGCCACAGAATGATCTCTAACACAATATGACTGTCCCTTCCTAACCTCAGCAATTTATCCAGTGCTAATGCAATGAAAACAATACATCCGTCACCAATATACTCCTTCTTGCCTCTTAGCCTCCAACCTAGAACCACTTTCCAGTTTTCTATGGTGTACCTTGCTGTTTCACGCCTGAACCTTTCCATTCCTGTTTATAGTTCAAAAAACATTTCCTCAGTGAAATCTTTCCCTTCAGTCTCTAATGCTGACATATAATTCTGAACAACAGAATCATTCTTCTACACCTTAAATATGTACTCCCAAACCAATTTCTTCTTCTTGAGAGAACTTAAAAGGCTAACATTTCCATAGACAATTAATTGCTAGAATGTCAGATACAGCCTGCTCTTAAATGAAGAGGATATAGATCTCAGTTTCAACAACCACAATATTTTATACATAGCATGTGAATTTATATAGTTCTCTACATGCTATAGAATATTTATGTATGCAAATTTATTATATACTATTATATCCATATTACATTCCCTTTATGATCTATTTATCCCCTCTGCATGACTTGCTTTAGCCAAATATCTCCTTTGCAATGCCTTCCAAATGTCATGCCCTCTTACCTCACGTACTTAGTGCTGCTGTTCTGACTAAAATCCTAAATTCTACCCTGGCTGCTCCCTCACCTTCTTCCTTTAGCTGTTGGTGAAATGCCACCTTATGAGATGAATATTTTCACAAAATAACAAATATAGAGCATCCTCCATGCTTCAAATCCTCATTATCCCCCTTACTCTGTCTTATTTCTTCCAAAGCAATTATTACCACCTCACTCATTTGATTTCTTTAATCTTTCTTAACTAAAATGTTTTTAAGTTTTATGTGGGCAGACTTCTGTTTTTCTCTATTTCCCAAAGGCCTAGAATATTGCCTTGTATTTTTCATCTAGATACATTAATTTTAGTATGAATATGGATACTCTTACATGATTTTTAAAAAAAGAATCCAAAATGGTATGAGAGTATTTTAAAAAGTTATTCAAGGAAGGGCTGGCACTGTGCCATAGCAACTAAAGCAGTGCTGGCATCCCATATGGGCGCCAGTTCGAGTCCTGGCTGCTCTACTTCCAATCCAGCTCTCTGCTATGGCCTGGGAAAGCAGTAGAAGATAGCCAAGTACTTGGACCCCTGCACCCACGTGGGAGACCCAGAAGCTCCTGGCTCCTGGCCCCTGGCTTCGGATCGGCACAGCTCTGGCCGCTGCGACCAACTGGGGAGTGAACCAGTGGATGGAAGACTTCTCTCTCTCTCTCTCTCTCTGCCTCTCCCCTCTCTGTGTAACTCTTTCAGATAAATAAATAAATCTTTAAAAAAAAAAGTAATGGGGGAAAATGAATTTAAGTTTATTATGGTGTAAAACTGTTTGAAATCCATATAATTTTTCTGGTCAGACTATGCATTTCCCATAAACCTTCTAAGGACCCCATTTCTTACATGGACTAAAGCAAAATTGTACAACTATTTGGAAAACCTACTATCCTCTAAAGCCTTAAAAACAAACTTGAGACAATACATGGGTAAAGTTTCAAATTTCAAGCTAAAGAGAATCTAAAAGATGAAGATTTTGCTTGTAATGCTAATTTAAAAATATGGTGTGCTTTTTAAGATGACAGTGTGAAAACTAAAGTATAACTCCAGAAGCTAAAAATAATACCTCACATATAAACAGCAGAAAAATGAAAAAAGAATTTATGTTAAAATTAAGATTAAGAGTAGACCAAATACAAATATTATTGGAGTGGAGGGGATGAACAACTGAATAAAGTTACACAGACTTTGCTATACATTCTCCTCCATTGTACTTTCTCTGCACACTGTTATTAACATGAAAATGCTTCCAACAATGCAGGAAGAATGTTATAACCAAAAGCAAAACTACTCTAAATGTCTCAGGTATCACAGTAACTAATGCTCTTCCCACTCTCAATTAAAGAGTTCCTGTTTCTTAAAAAGCAAAAATTCAGTAACAATTTACCTTACCCATCAAAAAAATTTTAACATGAAGACACAGCTCACATTTTTCTTCTATTTATTTACTTTGAGATTATAAAATCTGAAGTACCTTGTTAAATATTTCATTATTAACAATTCCTAAACCTTACACTCAAAAAGTACCACACAGCATGTAGTCAGTCTTTTTTTAGGTAAAAGTGAAAATGAGAATTTCTACTATTTAAAGA